TCCGCTCGGTGGTTGAAAAGCTGGGTGAATTTGCGCCACGAGGTTCCCGAATATGGGTGGTGCCCGACATCTGTCTTCAGTTTCTTGCCGTTGCACGCTGCTGGCCGAGTACAGGAAACATGGGCAGTTCCTTTCACAGCTCTATGTCTCTTCATACATGCCATCGCTTACCGCGCTGATAAAGGCTCGCAGACATGACAGGTCTCTGTCAGTATCCTTTGCTTCCATTGGTCAGAATCGCCCAGCCGGTGCTTTATTCACTTTGGGAATGTGTGGAGCCTGAACTGGAATTAGTGCGGAGTCTTTTAACCACCCCTTCCCCAACGGTTTCTTTCACCAAGATAATGAGCGTTGATGCAATGAGATCAAGGGCACTGCGCGCGCTGCGAGATAATACTTGGCTCCATTTTTTGTGCCACGGGACACAGAAATACAAGGACCCCTTCAATTCAGCCTTTCTCATGCGCGACCCAACCACTTTCACTCCTGGATATCACTCAAACGGATCTGTCTCGCCATGAATTTGCATTTCTTTTCTGCCTGTGAAACCGCAGTCGGTGACCATGATACTCCTGACGAAGTGATACACCTAGCGGCTGGCCTGCAATTCGCTGGGGTTAAGAGTGTCATTGGGACATTATGGAAGGTCAACGATAGTACTGTGCAGCGCTTAGTCGAGGCATTCTACAAAAACTTGTGCGGGAGTGGGAAAATGAATTCCAAACAAGCTGCACGAGCGCTTGCACAGAGCGGTCCAGTCGTTGGCCAGCGACAAGGACATGCCCTTAGACCAGCGCGTAGTGTTCATAGCACATTGGCATATGAGCAATTTCGTGCGTACTCCCAGCTTGTTGATTAATGCATTAATCTGACGACTTCACGTGTAGTATCCAGCCATGGCTACACACAACCTGTTGCCAAGGACTCAATCTTCGATATTTCAGACTTCGAGACTGTATACCTCCATGATATGTACACCTAATTCCGACTTCAATTTGTATTTTTCCAATCTATTGCTTCGGAGCCAAAGGTGGCCCGCTCCTAAGGTGCACTGTACTTTGTGGGTTAGGGTGAAGTGCAAAGTTGTACCTTTGGCTTCAACGCGGATCTGGTATATCATTTCATGACGGCAAGACATAATTATGATGGACGTCATAGTCGTGGGTCTGAATTCCGCAGTTTGCAATTGATCCTGCAGCTTCGAAAGTATCTGACTATTGTTGGCATACTGTGTAGTATTTTCGTGCACCTGAGTGGAGCTGTCAGTCATCCACCGATCGTGAATGAAGAAACAAACCGTTTTATTGCAGTAAGGGCGTTGTTGAATATACTCCCAACTATCGTGCAGCCGAAGATGTAGTGCTTATCAAAAGCTTGGCCCATAAATGAATGCAGATCAATGATCGATCGTTCTCGCTATTCAGAAAGGACACTAAAAGGACGTGTAAAACCGAAAGTCAGATTGAAATTGCAAAGTGTCTCGTCAAGGCATAAATCATACTGAGAATGATGGTATCGTAAAATGTATGCACTGTGCGTCAGAAGAAAAACAGATAAATGATCTATGCATTGTACGGTCAGTTGCCTTCCTGCAATATTGTTTCATGAAAAATAAAAAGATGAATGATCTATGCGTCGTGAATTCTCAAATTATAGTATACATGAGCTCTACTTAGAGGAAGAGGGTAAAGCAACCTGCAACAGAGGCAAGAAGAGTAAGCGATAAAGCGATGTTCTCGATAAGAGAAACAGATCCAGAGCTTGTGCTGCCGCTGGTCGAGTTTCCACTCCCACTCGAGCTCGCGGAGGTACTAGTAGGCAGGGGCACCAAGCCAGTCACTTGTACTGGGTTCGGGTCGGAAGATCCGGTTGAAGAGCTCAATCCACTGGCAAGCTGGGCGAAGCCAACGGCAGCGGGGCTAGCACGGAAGACAGAGTACACATTCTTCAGGAAGGTGTCACCGACAATCCAAGCAGGAACACTGCCAATCCCAATATCGAAGATACCGCCAGCACACATCTGAGAAGAGGCGGTCGCGTTGCCGATCATGGTGTCATTGAGGGTGCCGAGGTTCATGTCAAGGGGACTGATCGCCCAGTTTGTACCGCCGAATGAGATATAAACTGTGACATTAGTGTCGCAAGCTAGAATTAGATGAGTCTTCTGCCTATCCTGCAGTGCGCACAGATACTGACGGAATGCATATAAGCCTTGCCAATCTCCGGTAAGCTCTGTGGAGCCAGGCACTTGGGCCCAAATACTTGCGGCAATGGGTGTGGGTGCCCCGATGAGGGTAGTCCCTGTGTCGATGGCAGCAAGACCACTAAGTGGGTCAATGACGATCGTCTTGCCTTGTACAGTGACCGCTGCAAATTTCATTCAGTACGCCGATAACATGACAGAATGACGGTGCTGACAGCTAACGGTGAGCAACCAATACGATGACGGACCAGTCAGGTTCAAGTACTCGATAGAGCCGTTGTACAAACTCGAATTTGTTCCTCCGAGAGTGAGCACACCGCCTGGAGCAGTACTAATCTGATTGGCTTGGTCGACGTAGCGTTCAAGGTAGAAAGAGAACAAGGGTTCAGCGAGATCATTGGCATTATAGAGTGCTTCCCAAAAGGGGGTAGTCTGCAGGGCAGAAATCGAGGCAAACCCGAGACCCATGATACCGGAGAGCCCATCGTCAATCAATCCAGAGGTAATGTTAGTAACAGCGACTATGGTCAAAATAAAACTAAATTTTAATCAAGCCAAGTCACCAAGATAGACATACGGAGTTCCTGAGACATTTCGAAGGACCCAAAGGTGACACTATCTTGGGCGACAATACCTTGCGCCGATCCTGAGCCATAATCAATCTCCAGCTGGGAGGAGGTAGCCTTGTATGTCGACGACTTTGATGGGTTAAATTCAGGTATATCTGATCCGCAAGAGGTGCATAAAGTTGTTGCAACCCAAAGGTCAGAAGAGCCAGTATCGAGGACAAGATTAAAGTTCTGTGGTCTTCACCAAACGAATGTTTACGGACATTGCTATGTTTCGAATTTGAAACTTACGGAGTTCCAATGCTCACCACGCCTGAGTAACTGGAATCATTTTCCTGACACAATTGTGGTCAATTCCGTGGGCTATGTGAGAAGTCAAACTGCAAACCTCGTCTGTGATGGGAATTGCAGCAGTGCTGGCTCGCTTCGAATTCGTGCTCTTCACATTCGTTACTGGATAACCATACTTCTTTCGCAATGCTTCAACGGCTTTTGGTAAGTTCGCAACCCGGTTGGAATGACTTCTTCGCACGATTGGGGCATGAACTACACCTCCAGCTGGTTGGGGAGCAGCGAGAGTGAATGGAAGAAGTGCGATGGCTACAAGGGGGAGAAAAATCATCGGGAAACACGTGGAGAGGAAAACAGCAAGGAAATAAAAGAGAGTAGCGTGTGGCGCCAAAAGGAAACAATAATCTGTCCGGTACCTCGGCCCCGCCCAACGGCCATGCACCCATAGTTAGCGTTGCCGTCAAAGCGAGTAACGTTCAGGTAACTAAAAATCTGAAGCTTCGGTTCGAATTTTGCTCGGTCATCTCGTTCAGGAAAGGGCGGACCGTCGCTTGTGAAATCCTGTCTGAGTTTGAAACCTAACCCAACTACTTGACTTTGCTTCGGTCCATCCAATCTAACTGCTTGAACCTATTGAATGTTCTCCGCACGTCAGCGTGTACCCCAAAATTTAAAGTGACCCAAATGTACATAACTTGTACGTGACATATTGTGTCCCACTACTTTGCAAATCAAACAAAACGACATGAGTGTAGCATGCCTAGCAAAAGTTAAACGAGTTCGATTGATGTCACCTAACAGATCTATGACAGTCCACCAGCCTAATCGATACGGAGCATCTGAAAAATTATCCACAACGAAAGAATTGAGATGCTTGGACAATGAACGTACATTAGATTGAATTCCGCAGAGAAAGCGAAGAGCGCTAGTCCTGTCAGAGGAATGTGAAGAAATCTGGTTCGAGGGCCGTCCTCGAACCAGATTTCTTCACATTCCTCTGATAGGACTCGTTGCACCATCGTCCAGTTGAGCAGTCGTAAAATAAAGATCACGACCCATCGTCAGCAAAATCCCGAACCGTGTGCTTTATGCTGCGATGCAGCCACATCTGCCGCACTGCTCTACCGCTTAACACGTATTTTCGTTGGCGTTAAACTTTTGCAAACCGTGAAGTTTCGTTATCGTCCAAGGCACTCCGCCTGCACCATCCAAGTCGTTGTTGTGACATTCCATATATTCAAAACACAGTAGGAATGTAAACGACCAGGTCTGAAAGTCCAGTTTTGCGCTGCCACGAGTAAGAACGTTAGAAATTCGATGCGACAGAACAGCTTTACAACGTTTTGAGAATTAACTGTCGCGCAGCAAGACTCATTCAAGAATTATGATTGTGTATTGCAATCATCGACCTGCGAAATATGGAGGGAGACCTGGACAGACCTCAGTCCATTCAGAGTAACATGGAGTAATCGATGATTTTAGCCCATGACGATGACGACGACAAGCCTTGCCGGTCTCCTGGCGCAAGCTCAGATTCAAGTATGAGGGATCAATAGTTCTAAATTTCAGATAAATACTTAATTACAAAAATGTCTGTCCCAAAACTACGAGCTCGACGAAAGAAAGCCGCCGACCTCAACTCTGCAGAGACGCATCTGACCCAGCCACCTGTTGATCTGCTCAACTTCATAACGAAGCCTCGCAGCAAGCGGACCGGATCAACTTCATATTCCACGAACGTAACAGGCCCCCACTGTGAGATACAAACGAGGGCCTTGACTTGTTTGTGGGGTGGATTCGAGACTTGTCGAACGTCGTTGGATATAATCGTTTTAGCGTCGCACGCTGAAATTGGTGAGATGGAAAAGTAAACAGCTTTCATCGACAGGGAGAGCATGCGGTGTCATTTCAAACAACACTTCTTGTGAGGGTATGTATCAGGAAAATATAGAGTGGAGAATTTGTGGAAAACCGTGGAGCTGTATAGTTGCTGATTAAGCTATCTCACGGCTATCCTCAATTTCAAATCAATGGGTCACCAAGTCAGGTAGTTTAAAGCAACCTCAGTCAGATGTGGCCGAGGACAGCGCCGCCGTCCAACTGATGACGGAAATTAACCAATTTAATATTTTGAAACAGCTTTACTGGTAAATGGGCGTCCAGGTGGCATATCATTAACGTTGCACTCCAACTTGCACTTGGCCCTAATGATCGCCGTGTGGTCAAATTCGTACGCGCTTCCAACGTTATCCAAGTCACCATCCTGATCGCCGCTATGCGTAGCGCGAGAGCCATATACTACTAGTACCTGTTACACAAGAGGTAGACCATCACGCTTGTAGATCCTGCCACCTTTCATGACAAACTGTATGCTTTCCGCGGACACCGCGCTTTCGAAATCTGCCGCAAAGTTTCCCGGTGTTGCAATCAAATCAGCGATAAACCCTCTCCTCACCGCTCCAAACGGTACTTCATTATCACCAATAATCCTTGGGTCCTCCTTGAGATCACCTACCTGGGCGAGTCGGGTCTTTCCTGCCTCGCCTTCCCACATCCTTGATCGTACACACTCCCAGCCGCCCAAAGTTGCCCATCTAAGCACCTTCTTCCAGTTGGCACCCAGACGGACCATGAGCGATAGCTCCAACGCATTAGCTCCGTGAGCGAAGACCCCCGTATCGCCCCCGCATGAAATATTGTCCAAGTCCAGTTCCAAAGCTGCCTTGAAAGAACTGGCAGCACGATCCCAAAGATCTCCTTTCCCCTGGGTCATGGTGTAATATGCCGCGAGGGTAGGCACATATTTGGTTTTATGGCCTACATATTCTCCAAACATTTCTACCGCAGTTGTGTCAGGAGTGGTCATATCATATGCGTGCTCAATGGAGTCCACCCTGAGACTCATCAGGGGAATAATGGTTGACCTATTCGTTGCATGAGCGGCGACCTTGACTCCATATGCATGGGCAGTGCAGATCATTGCCCTCAGTTCATCATAATCGAATGTGGCCATGGACGCAGCCCCAACCCTACGCGAGACTTCAGAAGCCCGTGATCGAACGGTGTAGTCTGGGACAGCGTCAACGGAGATGACCGACAGATCTAACCCAAAGCAGGATTCATTTACCTGCATAGATCTGTATAATGTTGCAATCATAACGGAAACAAGCGGGTGTATATGAGCGCCTTGCCGCAATTATGACGATAGAACGTGACGATCACCTTGATCCAATCAGCCCCCGCGCCAATCTGCCTCCGGACGGCCTTGATGCACTCTTGAGTTCCATCCGCCGCATCAACGCCGGTGACACCATCGATACCTTCTTTGTTTAGGTAGAGGGAACTCTTTGGACCTGGACAGGTCCCTCGCATGAGTTGTATGTGCGAGATGGAGAAGCACATGTATGATAAACCAGCGAAAATACGAACCATACGTTCCAGTGGGCGCAATTGCCCTTGTGGCACAAAAATACCTCGGGCCGGGTATGAGGGCACCAGGGCTCGATAAACACTTGCGTAGCGCAATATCTGCATCCCCTGCACCCTCGGTACCTAGATCACTAGGAATAGAACGCCGACATTAAACGAAGAACTACGCTAGAACGGCTGATGGACGTACCGCACAGCCGTAAAACCTGCCATCAAGGTACGTTTAGCGTGCACTGTGGCCCTGATGGTGCGCTCGACGATGGACTCTTTGGTAACCTGTTCCTCCCATGAGGTCTCTGCATACGGATGCAAGAAAACTGACAGCAGGTGGCAGCCTGAGATGTCTTTCAGCCACGGAAATGAAAGTGATGGGCTTACAGTGGACGTGAGTGTCGACGAAACCTGGCAGAACCGTCAAGTGCCGAAGGTCTATTACTTCACCATCAAAAGACGCAAAGTTACCGCCGTTCTCTGGGAACGGGGCGACATCGAGTATCATTCCAGAGTCGTTGCATATCGTGATGGCTTGATTATCAAGAAGTTCGAGCGTGTATGGGTCAAACAATTTCCCAGCGAGAACTATCTTGGTCGCCGCAGCAGGTTGGGCTTGGCCTTCTAGCGTGGGGGCTGTTGCTGTGAGCTGCATTTGGCAGGACAGAGTTTAACTGGTTTCCGTTAGGTGTCCCGGTGTGGTCGACTGGAGACAAGGGACAAGGAGAAGAGCCCCTGAGAAATGACTTGATGGAGTAAATAGACGGAGTTTGGACTACTACATATGGCGGCCGAGAAATGCCGCGGCGCTGCCGCGACTGCTGCCGGCCATACTGGAATTTACCGTCTTCTTTCAAAAGTTTCTATGAATACTAGCGCGAGCTTCACTGCTTTATGTTGCTCCATCTCCTACTTCGGGAGTTGCCGACGGAGAACTTGGTTCCTGTTTGTTTCGAGGGTCATGAACTGATCGGGAGAACACCTCATTTGAATATCCTGCGCCTATTTGATTGACGCCGTGGCAGAGACAGTTACAGCACTAGGGACCTGTTACAGCCAGCTCGCATCGTCAGAATGCTATTGGGCGATCTACCCCAAGTATACGGCGCCTAGAGATTTAGGAACTGCCACCTACGTACCCAGACTCTCAATCTGTTCCGTGTGCTCGGCAAGGTGACTTAGAAGATCACCGTTTTCTGCAATACTTATCCGACCTCCAGAAACAGATCGACGGAGGTCCCCCAGATCTATTCTGTATAACATACAAAAAATATTTTTAGCAAACGCGTCGTGTCGACCGCGGGATCTTGATAAATGCGGGGAACGCAAGCACCGCGACTGGTGCCCTCGAGAATATCAAATTGGATATGTTTCAGCGAAGGGCTCCATAGGAGAGCTTCGTGGCGTTCTAGGGAGAACCTCGAGGTATGTGTTAAACAGAGCACAGGTATGATACAAATGAGAACATCATAAATATTTTTAGCAGATTTCGAAGTGATATTCAGAAGCTCATTGTCGAAACCGTCGGTTTATTTCGGCCTCGGAGGTTTTGATGAAATTTGAGCAAAAAACGGGGATCACCTTGTACAGGACCCGCAACCATCTAGTGCCCTCGCAAATATTCAAATCGGATCCGTTACGCATTAACGAAGTCGAAGTGCTCCTGAGAGAGCATTGTGGCGTTCCACGCGTGCGAGAAGTTAAGGTGAAACAATTACATTACAGTGATTCAATCTGATATATCATTGACAATAAAAGAGAGCTGTGTCGCTGATAATTCAGGTGAGTCGGTCTTTCTCGGATTTTCGCCAGTGCACACCTTATGTGGTATGTCGCAGGAAGACACTGCCAGTAATAGTGTAATGCGTAAAAGATACTGCGTAACTGACACCGTGATATGTTAACGCTCTTCTGCCGCCGCCTGCGTACAAAGTTCAGCCTCCCGTGCCGTTACTCGTCGTAAATGCGTACCTTTTGGGGCCTGTCGCAAGAATATGTGTTGATGAGAAGGGAATGCACGACCAGAAGGGAATGCAAGACGACACGAGTAGAAGACGACTCACGAGTGTACCAAAAACCTACTAAGAGGACATGCAAAAGACACCGCGGAGACGGCACTGAGTACAAATCAGAGGCTTTTCGATCTACACAGCATGTTCTGGACTCATCGTTGCGCAGCATGTATGGTGTGCTGGCACTATACTAGTACTGCAACATCAATACATCATATATATTTCGTACGTACAGGCATTTGTGCGATCGTTTCAGAAAGCTTGATTCCGCCGGCGGGAAATAGAAACGTCAATTGTACCTAGAAAGGACTAGTGGATATTTAGCCGCCTCCCATACACAGCATCTTCTGCACATCATCATTACCCTACCTCTATACCGTACGTACGGCCGCGCGCACGGTTCATCGAGGTTCCGCCGGTGCGGCGAACAGAACTCAGGGTCACAAGAGCCTCAGTAAACCACAAACAGCCCAAGGAACAAGTTTCAACTTTGTCCAAGTCCGTCCGTACATGTGAGTCTTTTTGCAAATCGTCACGGTCCACCAGTAGCAGTTCACTCGCACTGCTGCGCGGCCCGGTCCAACGCACCCCTTACCGTGACTGGAGCAAAAGTAAAAGTAAAAAACAAGCCCACGTACCGTATCGTACCTCAAGCTTATGAATCGCCGTTCCACGCAAAACCTTGACCAAGTTCCGCGCGAACAATAACACATTCATATTCATAAACCCGGCGAGTTCGAATCGAGCTCCGACGACACTTTGGCTTTGGCTTCGACTTCGACTTCTTCCACAGCCAATGCCAAAGTTTGAAACAATGTCCAGATATTACTTACTTATGAGATAAGACGAGATGAATGAGATGTGACGCCAATGCCAAGTAGTATTTACTACTCCTAGGTGCAGAACTGACTCGTGACTGACTACTTGCGGTTTGATTCTCATGGGGATGGGAGATCGGGCATCGATAGAGAGATCCGGGGATTTTCCACTGTTGAACTTAGAAGCTTTGACGGGGGATGCATTGACAACGGAGCGCGTTCATTGAAGTTGGCTACTAGTGGCTCTTGATCGATATCGATGATCAGCGTTAATGCGCAAATGTACAATGACAAGGGACATAATGCTACTCGTTCGTAACTTACGCGGCCTAAACTAGGGATACTTGCCAAGGATAGGCAGCGATGATCATGAAAACGAACGATACCGCCGCATGGATCACACAACACTTTAGATAATAAGAAATAAGATGTAAGATGCCAGCTCGATGGTGAGCCGAGCGCAGTCCCTGAGGCCTGAGGTTTGATTCCAGTGGGGATTCCCCGGGATAGTCGACAATCCATAGTACTGCCAACTACTATCACATCGAAGACACTATTCGAAGCGCTTGATCAGGATTTAATTGCTGATTCCGACTCGGGCTAATAAGGCTAGGGAACATTTAGTATAGCTCGTGAATGTCCTGCTTCAAGGTACATATGATGGTACGCTGACGGGGGATAATGCACAGAAGTTACGCCGCGGCCGTGACGTGATAATTCATCGACAGCAGCCAGCCGCTAGAATACACATTGAATGAGAAGGTTGCCACTGGAGTCTAGATCTCAATATCAATAGTCGTGGTATGGCGCAATAAAGCTTACGACCTCATCCCGGACGCGAGATAAGTGAAAGTCCAACGTTCAAGTACACAAGTTAAGACGCCGGTCGGCTGCGAAATCGACAGCCTGAAACTGTAGACCCACGTTCAATGAAATTACTAGCAAGCTGGTCGAGCCTTCAAGTTAGACGCCGTGACCAACTTGGTGAGTGGGTGGCAGCGCTAGCTCGATAGAACACCGGTATGAGTGAAACTAGTACTGTAACAGAAGCGATTGACGAGGCACTGTAGGAGCGTGTGTATGTGCTAGGTATAGATAAGATAAGACTTGTCTCGCTTCAACAGCTTGAAAACACAAAGAATACAAGAACAAAAATCGATTGAGGAACTACTAGTTGAATGTACAAGGTATAAACTACAATTAAGAAGGGGAAGCGAATGGTACAAGAGTCCTGTGCGTGCGTGAGCCAAATTAAAAAGCCAGTGTCAAAGTCAGAGTCGTGCATGGGAGCAATGCGATGTAAACAAAACACGATGAGCTGAGATAGATGCATGTGCAAAACCAACCAAAACGAAATGATGACGAAACATATGATATGTACGTATATGTGTAAGTAATTGCAGTGGGAAAAAGCGCAAGATAGTTCAAACACGCGAGTCGACGACGTCGTTAATGGCGATAATACAGTGTCACTGTGTTGGCGTATTCGGAATGGGGTATTGGTAATGGTATCATGTATGTACACAGCGCTGCAAAGCGAGGCGATAGAACGCGGGAGATTGGGAAAGAATAAAGTTAGGTTTGTGGTGCATACAGTCAGGTCAGGTCAGGTCAATGGATGGCGTGGCGTGGCGTGGCATGTCATGTCTTGATGAGGGCATTCTTAGTTTTGGTTCTTGGATCCTGGGTTGTCGGCGTGCGGGGTATGAGTGGCCCTGGAATCCTTGAGTACGTATGACAAACCCTCCTCTCCGCATCACCCCCTCATGACCCCTCCTCCCTTCTCGTCATGGCAAACGAACTCTCAAGGGTAGGAGCAACAGGGTCCACATCCCCCAACGCCCGCCACGTCCCCACAAAATTATGTCCCCCGACAATATACCCGCTGAACACCCACAACCCGAGTCCGAGTGTATGGTGCGGGTGCGGGTGTGCGGGGATACGAATGAGCGCGACGAGTCCGTCCCATTCGCGTACGCGGCCATAGAATTTGTAGTGGTTCCATGCTTGGCCGTGTTTGAAATCTGTCTACGAGGGATGGATGAGTTGGGCGGTAAGGGATAAGGCTGGGACTGGACTTACTTCTCCGACGAGTGCGATATCAAGCACGCCGTTACACTTCCTCTCGACGCAATACTCCTCCTCGTCGCTCTCGTCGTCTGATGCAAACGCAAGATCAGTGTCCGTATCTTCGTCCATAGCTTCGTCGTCTCTCTGGCGAAAGACGTCGTCGATGACTGAATCGTACCGCACAGAAGCCTCTTGTAGGAATTGGTCATCGTCTTCACCCACATCAATATCTGCATCGCCATCGTCACTCTGAGAAGACCGCTCCGCCAAGAATTGATCATCATGCTCCCTATAAATGATGTTGCACGTTCCACGGTATTGGCATCCGCGACACGTAGCTTCGTCATGGGAGTTTGTTGAGCCTGTGCGATAGGCCTCGTATGTGTATGTGCGGTCGTGGTGTTGGAGTCTGAGTTTGCCTTCGTACTGTTGTCGATCAGTATTAGTAGTCAGTATTAGAAGAAGATGACTCACGATATCCTCGTGCACCTGCACACCCTTGGGTATCCAAGCGTTCGAAATGCCATCATCAAACCCATCATCCGCACCACCAGTCGGTACAGGGTCCTGCGGGTCCACGCAGTGATATTCACGAAGACGCATGAAGAGAGGATAAGCGTTAAGGGAGAGCTGCTGTTCTGTGAATTCTTCTGGCATATGAACGTGCTGCAGGATTGAGGCGAAAGCGTTGTCGGTTGGGACTAGGATACGGCCTTGCCAAAGACCTGTTGCGGAGCCGTAGGTGTAGTGGGTGTTCTTGAGGGAAGATTTCTCCATAGGGTCAATACAGTCTGTGAGGCGGTACCAGTCGTCGTCGAGTTGGGAACTGAGTGTCAGGGTGTCGGAATCGGAGTCCCGAGGAGCGTGTTTGACGACTTTATGTTGATTGAGCTCGTGAACGTCTTCTTGGGTGGGGCCGATTTGGTCTCCAAAACCGAGTTGGATGGCATGTTGACGAGTGAGAGGGAGGTGGATTGGGATACCGATTGGTGTTGTTTGGCGACGTGAGAAGAAGATGAGCTTTGCTGCTGTTGAAGCGAGTGGGATGCCGATGTCGAGGTCTGCGCGGTCGTAAAAGTGGGTTGTGTGGAATTGGTCGGCACGGTAGAGTGGAAAGGCGCCGTGTGCAGGGATGATGGATTGACGGAGGTGGCCGTGTGAGTTGTCCGTAAGAGGCATGGTGAAGTGGTTGTGAGGAGCATGAGCTGATGGGTACTAGGGGGGGATTATGAGGTGAACCTTGATGATCGAGGTAGTGGCTTACGCGAAAGGGAACGATGACAAAAGGAAGGACGAGTCTGATCATCTCGTTGCGCCGGGCGGTAGTCTCGGTTTTAAGGCGCTCTGAGGGTGTATTGGAGAAAAAACGTCGAAGAAGATGGCGAGACATACCTTCTGTACTCGTGAACCAAAGCAACCATAATGCAAGGCAGTTGATGGGAGATTCGTTAGGCCAACCGTTTGTGTTGACGGAGTCCTCGTATAGGCGTTTGCGAACAAACTCGTCTACGAAATCTGGGAGGCCTGCTGCTTCGAGGAGATGGCGATTCTTTCCGTCGTTCTCAGACATGAGCGCAAATGAAGCCCAGAAAGCGTCGAGGACGGCATTGTCGTATATATCGGCCCGTCTAATGCATTTTAAGGCGGATGAATACCACACTAGTTGGTGAGCGAGATGGCGAGAGTGGTGAGTACGAGTACCAAGTCTTCTAGCTGATGCAGCTGAATCGAATCTATAGCGAAAGATGCGAGAGTATAGATGACAATTTTTTTGAAAAGCGAGGATATTATTAATTTGTTTGCAAGATTGGAGGAGTGGTATGATAAGACCATCGTTTTGGACGAGTTGTAGGACGATATTCTCGAAAATTTCAGCAGGTAAGTTGCAAAGTGAGGAGGATTGGATGAACATGGTGGGGGTATATTGTTTGTGAGAGAAGAGAGGGTAGGGATAATATATGGTTGATATCTCCGTTGATAACTCAGATCGGGGAGATACATTTCGTCATATGGGCGTCTACTCTAATCGCACCCACGGTTTACCAAGTAAGTACGAACGCCGTTTCTTCTACAACTCCGACAAATACTAGGACCAATAACAATTCACCTTACGTCTAATAAACCCTGTACCTTACACACACACACACCGCCAATTATCTCCGTAAAGCCGTCATGCCGGCCCCGGCTCAATTTAGAGGCCGCAATCCACGGCGATCACGATCGGACCCTCCAGCCCTGTCATTTCCCCCTTTCGCTTGCCTTCTCGGCTCCTCTCTCGAGAAAATCGCTATTGGTGCTCGTCCCGTACTTGTATACCACGCCTTTCATTTCCGCAATTCCTCACCGACAATCCAGCGTTACCATCATAATATCTATTTATTCAATTTTATCCCTTATCCCCGGCCGCCCTCACTCACTCTACCAAATAATTATTTCATAGTGGCGTTTGGGTCTTTGTGACGCTCCCTGCCTAGCTGCCTGGTTTCATATCCCATACTCAGTATTACATCCTTCTGGAAATATCTTTGTATCACTACGTGAGTTCTCAACATGTCGTACATTGTAATCTACTTTTCGGATCTTGCTGCGCCGAGCGCTATACAATTCACCCATCTGCATGCCGTTTTTCCGATCTTTCATACCTTGCACTTTACCTTGGGCTCCGCAAGATCGACCACGCACTCGAGTTCAATGCTCTCTGCTCCACTCCAGCACTCAGCACTCCACATCCAGCATTCAAACTTCAACTCCACTCCTAAAACAAGTATCGACGCGGATCAGCCTCCTACCATAAACGACACATTGTTCGAGAATTAACTCCCCAATTCCGCTATTCTCGTGGGCTTGGCCTACCCCATCTACCAATCACAGTATCCCCCCACCGGGTTCGAAAACTAAATCAGCGATAGGGTTGAGTTGAGTTAAGTTAGCTATCATCATGATCAGCTGCCATGCGCTCAAGTGAACAGCCCTCAGGCCCGGGTCGTGATAGTGCTCGTATTATTTATAATCTGCCCCGGGACGGTGGTGCACTGAGTCTTCCGGGTCGTGTTGTCCCACCGCCCGGGACGATTCTACCGTCACAAAGTACTTTGTTTTGAGCATTTGCTATTAACGCCTGTACTTGGCGGTCCGGGGTGTGGCTCCGTACACGTCGCAAGCTTTGCTTGGTCAAGCTCACTTGGGCTTGGTTCTAGGCCTGTTGAAGTGGTGAGTGGTGCGAGGGTCATTTGGGTTTGGGTTGACTTTTCCCAGGGTTTAGAGAACGATGAACGCTTTTATCGCTTGCCTGTGGCTTGTCACGCACTCGTGGTTTCTTGTGTCTCGCGGGACCGGTGATTTCAAGTATTCGGTGATTGTGGTGAGACGAGGAGCAATGTTTTATTTTCCGTCCATCGCAATCGTCATTCCCATCCCATTCCCGTCCCAACGCCATCTTCATCCCATCCCATTTCATCGCATCCACATCGTATCTCATTCCCGTTCTCATTACTTCATCCCGTTCCCATTCCCGTTCCCATCGCCATCCCATCTCATTCAAACTAACGCTTTCACAATCACAATGACATTCATTCAAAACCAAAACCAATCTTAAACGCGCGTTTCCCACTTCATCTCCGTCGGGCTCCCCTTCACCCATGCATCCATCGGCAGTGGATATGGATCGATCATTGACGTACACCTCAGTCAGCATCATGCGATTATCGATTATCGATTATGATTTCCCGAGGTTTTAAGGGTGTATGTAAAGGTATGTATATCTCCTCATCTCCCATTAGCGCGCCATCCACATCATACCATGCTGACGAGAACAATTGTGTTGTATTGTTTGTGTAGGTCCCCCCCAGCTAGCCAGCGGCGAGCGCATGTGGGAGATACCCGTTACAGGGTCTAGATTCTAAGCCTTTCATCTTGGCGCGCAACGTTCCGTTACCTCCCAAAATGGCGCAAGTCAGTCTTTGTTACCCCATACATTCAAGCGGAGCATGAAGTACTCAGTGTTGCCAGGTGTTGCCTGAGACGCAGTCTCTTGATGACCGTGTGAGTCGCGATCGTTATCGTAGTCCGCACGCGGTGTGGCGATTTTGGGCTGTGGGGCCTTGGCTCCCTTCCTTTTTTTTCCTTTTTTATACTCTTCTTCCCTTTTTAGGTTTTGTTTTTTTTACCGGCGGGCTTTCGTCAAGTTATGTATGATCGGGCCTTTCGTTATGTTATGTATGATGTATGATACCGCGTACCACCGCGTACCCTGTACCGACGGCTATACCGACTTTCTACTTTCTATTACTAGGTCAGGGGGTATCGATATCGGCAAGGGCTTACCGTTATGTGGTGAGATTTGCCTCAACTTGGATATTATTCGCTGACGGCTCGTGACTCACAGTGGAGATAAGTCAAGTATGAAAGCTCATTTGTGTCCGTCTATCTTTGTCTTTGTCTTTTCTTTAGGGCTTAGCCATCGTTGGCGTTGGCGTTGGCATTGGCATGCGGGTTCTATTGAGCGCCCGGGTGTCGCCGTCATTATTTGGCTGGTGGTGGTGGCGGCGACAGCGACGGCAAGCTGACCGATAGGGTTTTCTTAGGTTTACAGCCAAAAGTGCTTCCTTCGAACTCGGTGTTCCCCGAAATATCCCTATCCCTTATTTTAAATCGCTCGCGTGGGGGGTGTTTGGTGGGCTTGTACCTGGTCCTCTTGCTATTGTTTGGCACTGACGGTGACTGAAGACGCGACGCGTCGGCTCGGGGTTTCCCGGGGGTAACTTAGTACTTAGCGTTTGCCTGTTTGAAGTTCGCCGCATCACATCACACACGCTCCTATTTACTATTACCTCCTTGGTGCAAGGGCGGCGGGTCTTGCCGTATGCACACCCTGTTTTTTTGGTGAGATTCTAATTTGGCTCGCTGGGGATATGCGCAAGGGCTAAATTGATACAGTTGTCGTTGTGCTATTGGACAAGTGTTCTCGTTCTCGCATGCGTTGGATTGATCCGTAAGTCGCTAGGCGCGGGAAGTAGGGTGCGTGCTTTTATTATTGATGTGGGGATTGGTGGGCTTTTGCTTTTGGTCTTAGAGCTCAGGCTTCAGGGTGTTGGTGGTCACTGAATGGGGTATTCTTGCGTTTTATTGGCTTCGACTTCGACTTCGACTCGGGTATTCCCGAGTACATATCATGGTCTGTTTTGTTCGCGTAGGGGTGATTAATGGGCTTGTGCCTCTCGTGCTGATTATTTTTGGTTCGGTCTTTCCTTGGGAGGGTTAGTGTTCGATGTCTGTTCACTCTCATGCTCCCATTTCTTCCCTTCAGTGGGGTCTATCAATGCTGTATCCGTTCATATGGGGAAATTGTCGTCGGTGGGTTGTTTCTGTCGTGTAAACTCGTTGGTGATTGACTTTGGGTTCACAGATCAGGCTTTCATTTTCTGTCATTCCCAATGTCGGCGGACGAAGTTTTAATCTGGTCTCCAGGGAGATGATGACAGATTCAATCAACGTGCATCGGTTGATCAGACTTCTGGTCTTCATGTCGCTTTTCGGATCCGTTGGTGACTGCGAAGGCCCTCAGTCTATCTGCGAGTCGTCAGACGAAGTTTAATGATTCTTTGCAGAGAGTGATGCAAGGACTCATTTTAAACATCGTCTGTCGACTGGGCTTAGACTATTTGGTCTTCTTGGCGCCCTTTCTGCTTTGTGAGTCCGTTCAGATTGGTGACTGTTCGTTCGTGTGGATAAGACTTCTAGTTTTAGTCCTTCCTAGCATCGACAGACGAGGTTTCAACGACTCTTTGCAGAGTCGTTTGATGCAAAGACTCGTTTTAAACATCGTCTGTCGATGGGATTAGACTGCTGATCTTGCTTGTTGTTGATGACTGCTTTCACCCGCGGAATCTGGTGAGCTATATTCGCCTCTTTTGCTTCGCGAACCAGTTGGTGGCTGACCGCTTGGCTTGGGTTTAGAGATGCGTTAAAGGCTTTCAGTGACAGGTGTTTCCCGAGTCGACTAATGGGGTTTAGTGAATCTCGGTACCGATAGATGGTGCATTGATGCGCTTGACATCCATCATCAGTTGATGGGGCAGACTAGGCCGCGAGATTCCTCTCCGGCTTCCTGCGCGTGGCAGGATTATGATCGGTGACCTCGTATCACAGCTGTGTTCCTACTTTCTGCCCTGCTAACTGATTGGGTTCAAACTTTATAGACAAGGCTTTTTTATCGGTCCTTGTAGGATCCAGACTCGACTGATGAGGCTTGGTGATTCGTTGTGTTACATGATGCAATGACTCACTTGGCGTCGTTTGTCGATGGATTGGATTGGGCTAATCTTTTTGTATTGACGCTGCCCGTTGCCGTCGTCTGTTTGGTTTGGTTTAGATCATAGCCAAAGACTTGTGTTACGGCTTGTTGAATTGACGCTACCCGCTGACGTTGTCTGTTTGACTTGCTTTAGATCATGGCCAAACTTATCTTACGGCTCCTTGTAACGACACTGCCCGTTTCTGTCGTCTTTTACTTGCTTTAGATCATGGCCAGACTTATCTTACGGATAAAATTTAGATTCAAACGCAGCCTTCGTCACTGTCGTGATTCGTTCTACAACACGGTTCTTTCCTGCAGATGTGTGAACGCCAATTGCCGAACGATGTGTACGAGTGCATATGGTGATTGTTGCATGGAAATCACAATGTGTTCCAATTTGATCGTCTCTTTCAGGTCCCTTGATTCTTGTGCTTCCCTTGAGGTTGATTGTGATCTTGTGAATGATCAATGGTCTAGGCGATATCGCACCGACTGCCTGAGGTTAGAGAAACAACCTTCCGCAGCGCCTTGGACGTTGGATGGATGTGGTCAAGTGCATGCATTAAATGCTCTAAAAAACGAACCAGTGACCAGCTACCTCCTATATGTCCAACCGGAATACCTGTCGAGACGTATGGTGGCGGGATCGAAGCAGAAGAAGCTACTACCAAAACGGGTCAAATCACGTCCGAAAATGGCATGTGACTGCTTTCCTCGACGTCGTCACAGAACGCGGGGTCGATGGGCACATAAAAACTCGTCGTCTCCATATTTCCCTCTTTCTTCGTGCCCACTATCATCTGTCGTCCTTCCCCCACCTACCGTCATGCAGAGCAGCCGATAATGTCCAGTCGTTCATTTCTTTTAGCCATGAATATAGTCCACCCGCGCTCCAGGACCACTGCTTCGTCCATCTGGGCTCCTCAGCCTCAGCTGTTGGATTCGATGTGGCCAAAAGCTATAGACTCCTTCTCCCGTGACGCTGAGAAGGAGCTGCAGCGCTCCGGTCGTGTTCCGAATGGCATGAACTTCTTTGTCCCGGGTAACGGGAGTGAAGATGTCTTCGGTCCTGTTGGCCTTGTCGGTATGCCTCGCAAAAGAGACATTGGTGCGATCGGCGACGGTAGGAAAAAACAGAGCCCCGATTTTGACGATAGTGTTAGTCGATTTCATCGAAATAAAGCGCATATATGCTGATTAAATCGACCAACTAGCATGTCGAGCAGCTCTTACGCGCTCTTAATCTGAACTCTCCCGCTCTTTATGCTCAGCAGCCTTCTCGTCCACAAATTTCCGACTCCAAGAATGTATCGACCGGCTCTCCGGATTTTTCTCCGAGCTCTACTGTATCTGCGCTCCTTACGCCTACAGATCTTTCTCCTGCGAAAACTTCTTTTGACTTGAAGATCAGTCCACCTCATGAACTAGCTCCTTCGCACTCTACTTTGTCTCCTTCATCCCTTCTGTTTGACCACGGCTCGCCCTTGAGGGCGCACGATTTTATGTCTCATAATGTACACCAGCGTTTTTCTAGCGTTCCTTCTTCGAACCTTCTGCCTCCTAGCCCATTACCTTATTTTGAGCAGTCTTCTGAGAATTCTTCCCCATCTTTGGGCTCCCAGCAGTTTTATGATAGTGCTTTCGCCCATCTAAGCCATCCAGAACTATCAAGAGGTTCTTGGCGGCAACCGCAGCAGCTGTCCGCCCCTCCCGAATGGTTGAGGATTGAGGAGAAGCTCGGCGGCGACTATCCCTCCGGCGTCGCGGTCGGGGAAGATTCTCTTAGGACCTCGCCATCTCAGCCGTCGTTCCCACCTCGTCAAAACGGAGTTCATGCTCACGAGGTAAGTCTTTCTTTCGCCACCCTGTCTCCATTGCATATGCACTTACGTCCCCTTCACAGCCGATCAACTTCCTTTCGCTTTTGCATCCGTCATCGTCTCCCCCATACAACGTATTTGTGGCGCGCATCATAAAATCATCTGACCAGCAGGCTTCTATCTTTCTGCAACAGAAGCTCAAGGTTGCTGATCTTGAGGAACGCCACAAGATTGTGGATGCTATCTGCGCGCGTGGTTTTGAGATGATGTCACACCGGTTAGTTCCCTAGCCATAAACACGGTCTAATTAAAACTGATGGTGATATGCTGCTAGTTTCGGTAACTGGGCAGTCCAAAGATGTCTTGAAGCTGCGGCGACCCCCGAAGAAAGGAGGAAGATAGTCAATTGCATGAGGTATGTCCTCGGCTTACGACAACCTTTCATTGAGCACTATCCCTAATTGCGAATAGGGGGCGGGTCGTGGATCTTGCAACCAACTGTTACGGATGCCACGTCCTCCAAAAGGCACTTGATTGCGAGGAGGATATTCGCCTCCTGATCGTTTCCGAGCTTCTCCTCGGGGACCCTGCATTGACTTTGGTGAACAAGCACGCATCTCATGTCTGGAGCAAGGTCAGAGATTCGTTACGACTCGTGCCGTTGGACCCTAACCAATATGTATCCAGATCATGGAATTGACATGGACGGCCCCCGCGCCCCCGATTTTCGCATTGTCAGGGTATTTCTTGCTGGAGGACCAATGCCGTTCTGACGATTAAATGTAGCGTCAACAAGTCCCTGAAAGGGAAATGGGCGTCTCTCGCTTGCCATGAAACAGGATCCCTCGTTGTCCAGGTGAGGATGCTAGTGCATGTCATGTACTAGCCTCTTATTTCTCATACTCTACAGCACGCATTTGAGAACCTCGAAGAGTCCGCTAAGGACGGCATCATTGATGAGCTGCTCAATCAAGGACCTACTGTGTTCGGTGAGATTGCAAAGAACCAGTGGGGTTCGTATTGCATTCAACACAGTCAGTGCTTCTACTATTACGACCCTCTTCGTGATTTTTTACTATTCCTTTTTTATCCAGTTCTAGAGCACGGGTCTCCGAAACACCGTCAAATGTGCCTAGACCATATCATGTCTGACCTCCTGGATTATGCCACAAACGAACAGGGATACAAGTCTGTTACGAAGGCTCTCAAGGAAACGGGCCCCGAAACTCTAGACAGGATTGTGAAGCGGATGTGTGAACCTGCGAAGGGGTACGAACATTAATTGTGACTGCTTTCTATTACGATACTGACCCTATCACAGCGGCCGTCGAGCGATGATCGTGGACCTGGCGTTGTCGGTCACTGGTAGTCAATTGATCGCTAGCACGTTGCCTCAGGTATGCTGTGTTGTCGTTAGTGTCTATTGTCAGCCTCATGTTCTTTCGTAGGCGGACAAGGACCAGCGCACCATGCTCTATGACTGCATTCGCGGCCATATCGTCACCCTGCGCGGCTGTAAGACAGGGTCTAAGGTCATCTGGCTCTTGTAAGCGTCATTTATACGTTGCTTCTCTTCTTTGTTGATGTGAATGATCCGTCCGCAGCGATAGAATGGTTCGATCGTTCATTTCTAACTTTTTTTTTGGTTTTAACTCGTGTCTAGCGCGCCTATTACGGCTATTGAGGGGATGCCCCATCCTGCATTCTCTCCATGCCGAGTTTTGGCATCCACTGCAATATTCTCTCGCCATCTCGTCTTCATCCACGGCGTCTTCGTTTCCTTGACTTGAAAACGCCTCTTATAATATAAACAATACCTCGGTCAATACCTGGCTGGCCCATCTCCACCATTAATCTCGGAAAAGTACCAGAAAAAGCTCATCTGTCTCGCATTCCAATAACAAAAGCAGTCCTAATCGCATCAACATCAATATCATCAGTCTCAAGTCGCATTCGCAATTTCGCAACCGTAATCGTATACTACGCATCGCCGTCTTCATCTGTCTCACTTGCACGAACAATCTTCGCACTCAACTCTCTCGATATCGAATTTCACGCCTGCTTATTTGCGTCGCTATCCAAGTTCCTCGCTTCTTCTTTCGACCATATATACCGTGCACATTAACTCCCGTTGTCAAGCCTCCCGTTTTCCCGCTCGCTGCTGCTCTCAGCGCGGAATGGAGACGCGGACTATGTGCGCTAATCAATCAAATTCGTCCTTATGTCAAGCCAAGCTAGAATTCCTCGCATGATCCATCGAACAGCAGCTCAGTTCTATTGTAACAACCTCTTTTACTTTTATCGATCCAAACGCATCATCACATCTGTAACCGTTCTACACACACCTTCGTTTGTAGCATCACTTTGTCGTCACTGTTGTCAACAATGTTATCAGTCGTTGTCCAGTTATTGGACTCTTTATAAATTCAGAGGGAACGGTCCAGTATACTCGCAAAGGTCGTACAGTATGATATAATATATGCGACGACAGAGATTGTAATCAGTTTGGAACGACGGTGCCATCTATCAGATACAATACGCCATTCAGTGCCTGTTGAGAATAGAATCAACAACGCTGAACGCAGTGCATAAAAGATAACAGAACCGACCTCCTTCATCCCAATAATGCGCACTCCATCCTCCAACGTCACCCGCATCCACTCAGGCGAGTCAGGCTTTGTGTCGGGAACAGGGTTGAAAGTAACGAGTTTCCCATCTTGCAGAGTTTCATACGAAACAGGGGTATCAGATAGGGAGATACGAGACTTGACGAATATCTATGAGGGAGGATTCTACCGGCAACAACAAATAACTCACAGGAATGATGTGGGCTGAGACCCATCGCTCTACATTTCTCCTAGAGCTTTCATCCAGTTCTTGTTCTGATATCCCGATATGAGGCTCTATTGACTCAGGACCTTGGTGTCTGCCCAGCCATGCGTTCAATCATGTCCGTACCGCCATATACAATTGCCATACTCACGGTTTCCGTGCCAGTGCCATGACAGCCTTGTTCGTCGGTACGAGCATCGTAAACCAAACAGACTCAGAAGAGAATCTAGACGACCACTCCGTCTCTCGAGCATACGAGTAATAAATGCTCGCTGAGGGCTCGATAGTCAGCAGGTCTGCGAGCGTGGGTTGGGAGCTAGTGAACGGAGATGCGATGGATTCTTTGTTGGTTTGCGGCATTGGTGAGATTATGATTTGCTCCTGAAAAGAAGCGGATACTGCGAAGGAGAGGATGAATGCAAGGAGGAACGATAGATGCATGGTGATGAGGCTGGTAACTGGAGCTCTGGAGCTTCAAGCCGAGGCCCAAGAGGGTGATCGGAAACTGCCGTATGCCTAGTCAGGTGATGTAACGCCCTGAGCTGACGTGACGGCGTACGACTTCGAACTTGTTCCATTCCATTTCTCTATGGTCATCTATTCTGTCAGGGCCAAGCCCTTCGTAAGTACTAGACTTCAGTCTTGCATGGCGGCTGGGAGGACATTCAAGCATGCCCTTGCAGCGACTCGCGCAAAACGGTAAACAGATCTCATATGATCAGACACTAGGTGGCCTGAGCAACATCTCATTCGTTCGTTTCATTGTAAGATTGATGAATTACTGACAGGTCCGTCTTTGATCTCGCCGTGTGTTGTACCCTTACTTCGCCACCGGGTGATTTAGTCACGAATTATCATCTGCGCCCACAGTGGGGTACTTACCGGATGCACGTTGTGAACGGACGACATCCTGCAAGTACGTTTCCATACTTTGTGGAGTTGCGCCATATATGCGGTCATCTGAGTTTTTTATTCCTTTACTGTAGTGTATCATTGAAAAACGTTAAGTACTTCCCGACAGAGTATACATGGTCGTCTTGCGAATCCACGAAGTGATCAGGATCTGCCTGGTAGAACATCGGGGGCACGGAAATGCTACATAGGTGGATGCCTTCAATACTCTTCAATTATAAATCACACAACTCAGAAGACACCACCAGAACGTCCATCGTGATTATGTTCTTGTGACTATGAAGGTGTCATACCAGATCTGTGTTCAAACCAATGGTGCAACTTTGAACTTCATTCCTGCCCACAAAACATCAGTACGGGCACTTTTGGCTCGGAGTCAACAGACTGGGAAATACAAATATAAGTAAGTCGAGATTACTAGTAGGTGTACATATAAGGGGGGATACAGTCTCAAAATCTGAAATACATAATTGTACTATGCTCTTGGCAACAGGTTGCGCGCAGCCGCGGCCGGATCCTACATGCGAAGTTGTCAAAACACTTTATGTAATCAACAAGGTAGAAGGACGAACGATATTGATCATATGCCAATATGCACGAATACTATGCGCTGGTCCAAGGGCATGTCCTTGTCACAACCCAACGACTGGATCGCTTTATGCAGCGCTCGGGCAGCTCGCTTCGAATTCATTGTGCTATCCCCGCACAAGTTTTTGTAAAATGCCTCGACTAAGCGCTGCACAGTATTATCGTTGACCTTCCATAATGTCCCAACAACGCTCTTAACCCCAGCGAATTCCAGGCCAGCCGCTAGGTGTATCACTTCGTCAGGCGTACTAGAGGCACCGACTGTGGTTTCACGGGCAGAAAGAAATGCAAATTGATGCCGAGACAAATCCATTTGTGTGATATCGAGGAATGAAAGCAGATCGTCGCGCGTAAGAAAGGCCGACTCAAAGGGTTCGTCCAATTTATGTGTCCCGTGACACGCGAAATGGAGCCAAGTATTTTCTCGCAACGAGCGCAATGCTCCAGATTTCGTGGCATCAACACTCGTTATATTGGTGAAGGAAACAGTTGGGGGAGGGGGTAAAAGACTCCGCACCAATTCCAGCTCAGGCTCCACACTATCCAAAGTGAATGAAGCACCGACTGGGCGACTCTGGCCAATGGCAGCGAAGGACACTGACGGCGACCTGTCATGACTTCTGCGAGCCCTCACCAGCGCGGTAAGCGATGGCGTGTATGAAGAGATGTATTGCTGCGAAAGGGATTCTCCATTTGCCCTATACTCGCTGGCGGTGTGCAACGGCAAGAAACTGAAGAGAGACGTCAGGCACCACCATATTCGGGAACCTCGTCGTGCAAATCTGTCCAGATTCTCAACAACCGGGTGGACGACGTCATCCCACAACTCCCTCAAAGCTTTTATCAGCGCTGATTGGTTCTCGTTAGGACCGGCCTCTTTTTCAATTGCCTCCTGGAGTGTGAGCACCAATCTCCGGAGTTTATCAAAGTTGGTACGGAGTTGAATGCTAATCGGAGGTCGTTTGTGTGGGACAATAATGGCATTGCATGACGACTTGCATGCAACGAGCACGATGATAGGCCCGTCACGAGCTGCCTCTTGGAGATCAGAGATCAAGGGGGAGAGTAGGAAGTGAGAGAAGCCCTCGATCCTCCGAATCTCTTCCACAACTCTATTCCAGTCCTCCACTAGATGTCTGTACCGAGCTGCTTCTGCTTCTACAGCGACCCTTGAGGTCCCATCTGTGTGACTCGCAGGAGGTTTATCAAGGAGGGAGCTGAGGTCTCTGAATTCTGCATCAGGACCACTGCATGATTGCCATGTGTCTGAAGGCTGTCAAGAGGCGTGCGGAGTCTTGTCATCTGAGTCCAGATGATAGTCCTGCCTTGTTCCAACAACTCGACAGCGCGACGCACGTCACCACTACAAAGAGCACATGATACAGCATCCATAGCAAGCATACTTGGGAATTCCTTCATGGCATTATGACGAGACGATACAGAGGCTGTTACAGACATGTAAGCGTCCAGAAGTTGCATGGAAATTGCATAAGCCTCCAGTTTGGTACCATGTGAATGTTGACTAGCATGGTGAACCCAGCGTAAACTTGCTCGCAAGCGAGGTAGCAAACCTCGAGAGACAACATTTGCTGCTGCCTTGAGATGATCCATGACAGCATTCAGATTGCCAGTATCTTTGATAGGGTCCTCAAGTCCTGATTGATGGAACAACAGGTACACGGTAGCTAGCGACTCATGGACCTCCAACTGACGAGGATCATGTTTCGTCAGCAGAGTCAGTGCACAGCGGAGATTATCTCGTGACTCATTGAGGGCTTCTTCATTGCGTCGGTGCTGGAAGCAAGTGGAGAGCGAAACTGCAAGGTTGTGTAATGACTCAGGCTGAAGTGGGTGACCGACTCCATGTAAAACCAATGCTTCCCTGTGAAGCATGATAGCCTCATCCAAGTCTTGGTCATTACTTCGGTGCTTGAAGCGGGTGGAGAGTCCATATGCAAGGTTACTTAATGATCCGGACCGATCTGAGTGACCGACTAGGCTCAAAGCCAGCGCTTCCCTGTGAAGTGTGATAGCCTCATCCAAGTCTTGATCGTTGCCTCGGTCATCGAAGCGGTTGGATAGTCTATTTGCAAGGCAGTTCAAAGACTTTGACCGATCTGAGTGACCGGATGGGCGCAAACCAAGCGCTTCCCTGTGAAGCGTGATAGCCTCATCCAAATCTTGGTCATTGCCTCGCTGCTGGGAGCGGGTGGAGAGGTTATTTGCGAGGTTATACAATGACTTTGACCGATTTGGGTCACCGACCAGATGCAAAGTCAGCGCTTCCCTGTGAAGCGCGATAGCCTGATCCAAGTCTTGGTCATTGCCTCGGTACTCGAAGTGAATGGAGTATTGATTGGCAAAGTTGTTTAATGTCCTGATACGATCTGGGTGACGATCTGGGTGTAAAGCCAACGCTTCCCTGTGAAGTGCCATAGCGTCATCTAAGTCTTGGTCATTGCCTCGGTACTTGAAGCGAACAGAGTGTTGATTAGCAAGGTTATTTAATGACTTGGTCCGATCTGGGTGACCAACTGGGCATAAAGCTAGCGCTTCACTGTGAAGTGCGATAGCCTGATCCAAATCTTCAGCATTGCCTCGGTACTCGAAGCGAAGGGAGTGTTGATTGGCAAGGTTATTTAATGACTTGGTCCGATCTGGGTGACCATATGGCTGTAAAGTCAATGCTTCTCTGTGAAGTGCCATAGCATCATCCAGGTCTTGGTCATTGCCTCGATGCCCAAAGCGGGTAGAGAGTTGATTCGCAAGATTATTTAACGACTTGGACCGATTTGAGTGATTGGTTGGGAGTAAAGTCAGTGCTTCCCTGCTAAGCGAGATGGCCTGATCCAAGTCCTGGACATTGCTTCAGTGCTCAGAGCGAGTAGAGAGTTGGTTCGCAAGGTTGTGTAATGACCTGAAACGGTTTGGGTCACCAACCAAGAACAACGCCAGCGCTTCAGTGTGAAATGCGATAGCATCATCCAAGTCTTGGTCATTGAATCGATGCTTAAAGCAGGCAGAGAGTTGATTCGCAAGATTATTTAACGACTTGGACCGATTTGAGTGGTTGGTTGGGAGTAAAGCCAGTGCTTCCTTGCTAAGCGTGATAGCCTGATCCAAGTCTTGAATATTACTTCGGTGCTCAAAGTGAGTAGAGAGCTGATTCGCAAGGTTGTGTAATGACCCGAACCAATTTAGGTCACCAACCGGGAACAACGCCAGCGCTTCAGTGTGAAGTGCGATAGCGTCATCCAAATCTTGGACATTGCTTTGATGCTCGAAGCGGGGTAGAGAGTTGATTGGCAAGGTTATTTAATGACTTGGTCCAATCTGGGTGACCATGTGGGCGTAAAGCTAACGCTTCCCTGTGAAGTGCCATAGTGTCATCCAAGTCTTGGCCATTGCCTCAATGCTCAAAGTGGGTAGAGAGTTGATTCGCAAGGTTATTCAATGATTTGGACCGATTCGAATGATCAGTTGGGAGCAAAGCCAGCGCTTCCCTGCTAAGTGAGATGGCCTGATCCAAGTCCTGGTCATTGCTTCGGTGCTCAAAACGAATAGATAGCTGATTCGCAAGGTTGTGTAATGATCCGAACCGTTTGGGGTCACTGACCGCAACCAACGCGAGCGTTTCAGTGTGAAGTGCGATAGCGTCATCCAAGTCTTGGACATTGCCTCGGTGCTCGAATCGGACGAAGAGTCCATTTGCAAGGCTGCTCAATGCTGCAAACCAGATTTGGGTGACCGGCTGGATGCAAAGCCGGTGTTTCCTTGAGAAGCGTGACAGCCTCGTTGATGTCTTGACCATTGCCTCGACGCTGGAAACGAGTTTGCAGCAATACACCTAGATTACACAGCACTTGCCCTTGACGAGTATGCATGGTGTTGTAGTATCCAAGTGCATCGTAATGAAGGGATATCACTTCGTCTAAGTCATGGGGATCATCTCTCTGCAAGCATTGCGCAACTTTGAGAGAAAGTTGATTTGGCGATAGCGGAAGCATGGATGCAGCAAGCTGCTTCTGCCCAAGATCATTTGCATCAGTGTTTCTAGCTGGATACAGAGTTGATGTTTTGAACGCAACCAAAGCTGCTCTATAAATGTGGCTATTGGTGTGGCAAACATTGAGGACTTCACTGAGTAACCCTTTGGCCGCATCAGAAGCCGTTTGACTCCCCCGTGTAGCGAAAAGAGACAGTAGAGCAATGACAAGATGGAGCTGTGTGACAGGCCGGTCTGGATGACCAGTGGGACATAAATAAAGAGCGTCTTGAAATAGATTGATAGGGATGTTGAGGTCGAGGTATATTCCCTTAGCTTGGCAATTAACAAACTTCGCGTTAGCTAGATGGAACTCTGCTGCGGCACGGCAGGGATGACCCATGGGGCAAAGGCCAAGAACGTGTTCAAAGTGCTTTATGGACTGGTCGAGATCCTCACTTGTCTGCGTCCTGCAGTATCATGCGAGAAGACTGTGTCCAGCATCTACCTCTACCACTAACGCATCCATATCGCCGGATGTGGGCTGCGCATTATAAGCTCTCAGCATCAGAGTATCGGACTGCATTGATCACTCACAATAGGAAGGGGACAAGGAACTGCAGCGTCGTTTTCATCTGAACTTCGCTGCTCCACTGTCACGAACATTGAGGTACACGGGGATAAAACTTCGCCCTGCCGGGGCTGAAAGATGATGGCTGTGATACTCGTTAACATCCGTCAGGCGTTATTTGCAACGGATCATGTCACTGACGATGTGAATTTTCACTACGATCCAGTAATTCTCCGACAGAGATCTCGAATGCGCGGAGGATTTCTCTGTGACAGAGCATGGGTCGCAATTCAAACGAGGCATACACGCTGACCCGGACTATAGAAGATGGCTCGCGTGGCCTAGAATCTTTCTCAATACCTGCAGGAAAGACAAGCTAAGGACCACCTACAGAAGTATGCGCTCGTTCCATTCGACAATAGCCTGATCTATGTGTACGGGTTTGTTGCTTGTCTGGGATTCAGCACCGCCAGTCTGTATTACTACATGGAAGCCAGCGGGGATCCGTCGGAGACCAAGAGTGAGATCAGTTGCATGAATGGCTTGAGTGATATCATCAATACGTGCTGAACAGAGATTGATATCACATACTAGTAATGACAATTTGTTGCATTCCAGTGAGGTGTGTCTCTCCCAGGTCCTGGGGGTATTGTTCTAGGTGACTTGGCTCCTCAGCCGAGGGTGGGAAGGTATCATTGGATGGGTCTGGCAAGGAGTTTGTCGTGAAACAAAACATGATAGTAATGACGAAATAAACTGTCACCAAAATGGCTTTGGAAACTCATCAGTACATCATGCTGAGTGAAGATAGACGACACATACTGCCGATGGCGACTTGAAGGATGGACTAATACTTGAGAGTAAGATGTGTGCTGGAAGTCACGAACTACTGCAGTGTCTGTAAAGCTATAAAGAAGGGAACCGCAGTATGCGCTGCAATGCACAGCATGTCCCGGAGCGGAAGTCAGAAGCGGCTCGTAGCATATCCACCTATATCTACCCATAGTTTGGTGTCACATGTTCATACAGCAGGGCACGTTGTGGAGTGCGATATTGATCAAAGTCGAAACAGGTAAGTTGCAATGTTCAAGACAAACAGGAGTGTCGAGCACCCTGTAAGTATACGGTATGACCCTGAGTTCACCGAAAAAGAGTATGATAAGCGTCTGGTGTCTACGCGCTGCTGTTAATTTTCGTAACAAGACATGAATCAGATGAATTGCCGGTCAATGGTATCTGATTTATACAAATAGGAGTGATGAAGCTATGTGGGCTGGAAACTCGAAGGGTTTTTCGACCCGAAATGAGAGCGGGCCACACAGCTCACGGCGGATCGGAGTTTGTGGAAAATTCTGCCATCAAAAGTGATGCATCGAGTAGATTTTAAGCAAAAAGAACCATTAAGAAACAAAGGGTGATCTGGAACGAGACACATGCTGGCAGCTGCTGGCGCCAGGCGGGTGGGTGCGACGAAATGAGAATGGAGACTTGTGAAGTCACGCGTCACAAGCAGTGGTGGCTCGTCACATTGCATTGGAGATCGATGATCTACTATGATAATCATGGATCTGATAACCATCGACAATTCAACGCACTACTGGGATGCATAAGGCTCTACTTGTCCCCGAAGTTCTCCTGCATATCTTTATGTGTGTGGAACAAATCAGGGAACCATCATATGCCAAGAAACCATTGTCTCGACAATCACTTGCAGCGCTTGCAACCACATGCAAAACCTTCTACGAGCCTGCAATGGATTTTCTTTGGGCTGACATGAATATGTTACTACCACTGCTAGGATGTGTAACGAGGTTACATCCGATGATATACCCTAGAGCCCAGGTTAGTGCGGACGCTGTGTCCATACGAGCTCAATGTTATTTTTTCGTCCGTTCGCTCACGGAACATCACAGCAATCCTGGTCTTGGGACATCGAACCATTATCTCAGCTTGAACGCAGTCAATTCCTCCGTCATTCCTGCCGTGTGCGCTCTCTGAGCGTATCATCCGATGACGATTTTCACCTCCTTTATGCTTTCCCCTTCGACACATGTGCGTTCCCAAACCTGCTTTCATTGTCCTGGATGGTTATCTCCACAAGATACCTGCGCTTCTTCCTGTCCCCTACGCTGCGTAATTGTTATATCGCAATAGTTCAACCAGAACTAGCTCGGAATTCTATCGGGACCCGTTGTCCTGCTCTGGAAGGTTTGGATATAGACACAATGGGGGTTATGGCACAGGCTCCACATCTGTCTGAAACCGTCCGTTCATGCAGGGCGCTCGTACGTCTGCAATGTCCACCGCTGGACTCGGCAGCATTGAAGCACCTCTCCACTATCCCCACCCTTCTCAGCCTGTCGATATATCAAGAAAGCTTTTCGAACCCCCCGTCCAAATTGGACACGCACAATCTCAGTTTTGTATCTTTCTTCAACGTTACGACTCTTCGTTTCTGTTATGCACCAATTTCAGACATCACCGCAGTCATACAGCATTCAGAATTCCCCTCGCTAAAAGAATTCGAGTTAGTCGCCTCCGTTTTAATTGGGGCAGAACTCCTGCCGCTTTTACAAGCACTATCACAGTGCAAAGCATGCCACACCCTTGAAAAAATCGCCATTTCCGACGACGATCCAAAAGTTAAGGAGCCCGCAGACATTTCATTTGCAGTGACTAGAGTGCTTCTTTGTTTCACGCAGCTGCAAACCCTCAGTCTTTATGTTTGTTGCTCCATCAACCCTGACAACGCCCTTCTCTTGGAAGCCTTCTCAAGTTGGCCACAGCTCCGCAGTTTGTCGTTTCCCGACCCGCATTATCGACCACCTAAAGTCACCTTCCTCGGATTATTCGAATCGCTTCGTCGGTGTCCCCACGTGCACACCCTGCATCTAGATGTAGATGTTATAAACATTGATATCGATCCTGAAGCCGAGTCATTTCAACACACCTCCTTGAAAAGAATGGGCATATGCACCTCTCCGGCAGCGGATGCCGAAGCTGTCGCTCGCATCATTTTCGCCAACCTCCCTAATGTTCACCTTGCGGACTCATGGGGCGATGTCAACACGCATCTCAAATCTCTCAGAGCTTCTTCCAGCTTGCAAGGTGAAGACGGTGACTGACACGAGTGAAGAGGCATAAGAGGAGTAAACAAAGCGACGGTATCATTGATTCGGTTGACCGTGGTGAGGACTGTATGTACCGATGATGGCCACCGGGACAGCTTCGGTAAGTAGGCTAGTTTCAATTTGTTCGTGATGCAATTGATTCAAAATCGTATCTCAGATCTCATCCCCTATTGACCATCGATTCTCATCGTACGTATCATATAAGACGATTGCTTAACACATCCTGTAGTCTCAAACATTCTCTTCACGAATTACGACCCCAAATATCCGCTGGCCCTTTGCGAGGTTTTGCAGTGCTCTATACGACACGGATCGTCAGACAAGCTCTGCATAGAGGATAATGCAGTGTCAACTGTGGCCTGAGCTACACTATCATTCACAAGAGTTACTTGTCCCTCCTGCAAATTGACCAAAACCCCATGCACCTGTTCAGCGAGGTCTGCTAACGACTCGCTCAGAACGCCAGGGCCGGGAAAATTCTGCCTCATCGTTGTCACGAAAGATGGTATTGCATCGACAGTAGTCGTTATTCCTCATCCTATAGCGTGCATGCCGCCCCATGTTTCTGATGAGTAGCCACCACTTATCTTGGGCGGGGCTGAAAGGAAGATCCTTGCCCGAGGTATCGATGCGACCGAAGATGGCATGGAGGTAGCGTCCAAATTACACAATATGCATATTACAAACTTCATCAACTAGAGAAATGCACCGCTGGAGACGACCATTGCAGGCCAGACATTGACACTACTCGTCGCTCTTTGTCAGGGGCAAGTATGAGGCGCATGTAGAAGCGGTCTTGACCCCAGTTGAAAGAGGCGTCGGGTTCACTGTCGTGGAGTGTCCGGTTAGAGTTTGGACGTACAGCAGTCGAAAGAGCACAAGAACCCGGGGGAGACCAATAGGTGTGTGCAGAATTTGCTTCACGCTAGGTGTCCAAGACCACTGTGACGGTAAGCGGAAACGTTTCTGTCTGCCTGATGTCCTTGCTGTGAAGTACTCACACTGTCTAAATTTCCTAAATGTCACGGTCGCGACATACCTAGCCTTGGTCAATGAAGCATATGTAATTGGAAAATGTTTTGAGAAGCTGAATGAGGTAGCTCGTTTCAACCGCCACCACTCGTCCTCAATTCGTATACCCATTCAAAGGTATCTTCTTTATCCGAGCAAACAGCAAGTGTGTGGACCATGTCAAGCTGCCTGGAGATTGCGAGACAAGTTCACGAGGGTGCAGATCAAGTGCGTTCTTAAAGCCGAGGGTCACACGATTGTTTCGATAACCCAACGTAATCATCCGAGCAAATGATATCACCATATATTAGAAGAATCATGGTATACATTGGCAGGTAGTGTCTATCGGTCCACCTCACTAGATGGATATACATTAGCGTACATCGTGTAGAATAAAATATCAGAAACGCACCCAAACACAAGATCCTGTTCGATAACAGTGGTAAGCGACGGGAACAATGAAACCACAGGGTACATACCATAGTACCGATAATGGCGACAGCGTCAGCAAGCATGTGCTATAGAAAGAGGAACAGTTAGTACTTCAATGGTAGGTCAGTATTTATTGATCTTACATCTAGAAAAAAATCATATTTCAGTCAACGTCTCGAATCTGGTATGAATAACCTACGTCTCATCATGAAGTCTGAACCCGCAAGATGGGCAAAGCCGGGAGCACGAATTTTGCACCGGTATGGGCGATTGGTACCGTCCCTGAATGTCACTCGATCAATGATATTTAAACAGAGTATTCAAGTGTCACGCACGAGACAAGGTAAACAGCCATCTCTCCCTTAGGAGCCTCAATGGCACTGTAAGTCTCACCAGGTGGTACTGAGTAGCCTTCGCTGAAAAGCTATGGGAACGAGTGATCAGCAACGGTCGAGTGTAGTTGAGTGGAAGAGGATACCTTGAAGTGGTGAATGAGGGCCTCCATACTTTCTTTCATCGAAGCACGGGGTGGCGGAACAAGTTTGTTGTCGTCTACCTTGATGACGCCTGTCGGCATTTTGTTCAAACACTGGAGACGAGAATGGTTGAGTCTAAAATGATGATCATTTGACCAAACACTACGAACCTGGTGGATGATGCGCAGGGACTCGCGGAACTCCTGGACTCTGCAAAGGTACCGGTCGTAACAATCGCCATTCTTTCCAACCGGGACATCGAATTCAACCTGTGATACATGATAAGTAAACGTGACTGTCAAACACGAAAGTCATACCTCATCATATTTATCATAAGGCTGCACTCTTCTTAAATCCCAAGGGATACCACTACCTCGCAGCATGACACCCGTGAAGCCGTAATCTAGGGCTTCCTTGGCAGTCACTACACCAATGCCGACAGTTCGTTGCTTCCATATTCTGTTGCCGGTCACGACTTCTTCGATTTCATCGACACGAGAAGAGAATTGCGTTGCCCATATGTGTATATCCTCCAGGAGACCGTGCGGGAGGTCAAAGGCGACACCACCGGGACGGACGTAGGCAGCGTGGAGTCGAGCACCAGAAACACGCTCGTAGAATTCCATAAGCTTTTCACGTTCTTCAAAGCCCCACAAGAAGGGGGTGAGAGCACCAACGTCCATAGCATGGGACAAGACGGCCATCAAGTCTAAAACCAATTTTAAGCGCAAGCTTCATGGAGCGTTCCGTTTGTGACATACGACTAAGGATACGCGTGATTTCACCAAACATGGTACGAATCCACTTCGCACGTTCGGGAACCTCGATATTAAGGAGTTTTTCGACTGCGAGCGAGTAGCAGAGTTCGTTGGTCACTAGAATGGGGTCACTTGAACACTGGGCAGGCCTCTCGTCATAAACCTCACTCACTCATGGAAACGTAGTCGAGCCGATCGAAGTAGGGAAGAGCTTGGACATATGTCTTGTACTCGATCAGCTTTTCAGTCCCACGGTGGAGGAGACCAACATGCTGGAGTAAAATCAGCAATCTCGCTCAGGCACTTGTACTGAACTGCATACTGGATCAGCGCGGAGAATTTCCTCTCCATTCAATTCCAAGATCATTCGCAGCACTCCGTGAGCAGCAGGATGTTGGGGGCTAAGCATTCAATCAAATTTTGGACGCACTGCGAATATCATAAACGACACTTACCCGAAGTTCACTAATCGAGTGGGTTTATTTCATTCGGTCAAAACAACGTTCAGAAGAGATGCTCACCAGTAAAGTGCCGGAACTTCGCGTCAGCTCTTGTCCCGGTCTCTTTCAAAATTTCCGCCGCGCTCATGCCATGCAGGTCTTCTACAGTATGAGTCTGATACAAATTGTTTGTTCCATTGGTACCGGGTTCCTCTGGCTGACGACGGGCGACTGAGGAGGAAAATGAGCGCAAAAGGGAGCGCCTCGGTAGCCCAAGTTGCCGCCGCAGGAGCGTACTAGCCATATGAGCCGTCGTCAATGGAGACTTTCTCGCAGGAACGAGATTGTGATGAGGTTCGTCAACGAAACGCGGCGTAAATCGGCTAGTACTGAATAAGACACCCCCACGCGAGGGGTCATTGCGACAATATTCACACGTCTCCCCGCAACCACACCGCTAGCTAGTCTTGCTGCTGCATCATGCTTTATTATGCCAATGGGCTGAGCGCTCTGTTATGGGCCATATCTATATTCCTTGGATTTGGCCTTATGGCGCTTGCAGATGAAGCTCCATGCACTTTGCATCATGAAGGCAACTATTTCAACCTGAATCCGTTGAAGGCTAGGTATGCCAGCTGTAATCATGACATTCAAGTTGCATGTGTTTAAGCCATTTATTCTGATAGTCAGGACTACGAGTTTGAGACTCTAGATGGACATACTTTCTACCTGAATGTCTGCCGACGCGTGACCACCGAACCCTGGAGTACCGGAGTTCCCGACAATGTTGACATCGCCGGTCTAGTGCGGGACGACCACCACGACTTTGCCGTAGGGTATGTGATATGCAGTTCTAACAGCATCCCAGCAGTTGACAAACAGGATGCAGACTTGTAAATACAACCCTGGAAATGAGGGACACGGGGCTGATGATGCATCTTTCCAATGGTTCACCCTGCCCTGGGGAAGATGACTTATACGGGAGCTCATCCATCCTGTTTCTTTGTGATGCAACGGTTTATGGAGCTGGTGGGGTGTTATATTTCTCGATGAGGGATGCGGTGATTGATGTTTCATCCAGGCAAACCGGCGGTGATATCCCAATTTCCGGAAGACGACAATCAAGCCTGCCAATACACGGTCGAGTGGCGAACACATGTGCGAATTTATATGCACCTCGATCTTCTCTAACTGACAGCTTCTTATTGTGTAGTTTGCTTGCGCCACTGGCGAAAGGGGCCTTATCTCAGGATTAATAGTGTTCTTGGTGATCTTGTACGTCATGTTGACGAAAACATATATTTATTGATGGGCTAAATAAATTTTCTCAGCATGATGATCCTTCTGATGCTCCTCGTTGTTTCTAGCACCCTGTATAACCGCTTCGTCCTGAGAAAACGTGGCTTTGATCAACTGGCCTGGCTTTCCAAAGTTCATCTGCTCGAACTCACGGACTTTTGCATTGAGCTCTTCCGGTCCACGGTAGACAATGTTCGCTTGACTGGTAATAGATGGGCAGAATCGACTAGGAACTTCAACCCTGCATCTCACCAATGGTCATCAAGGGATGAGGAGCAGGCGATGATGGCCGCTGATCCCCTTGAAGACCATGATCGGGAACTGCCTAATGATTAGAGAAATGATACGGTGGATGGGTCGCAGGGCGCGGATGATTTGGGCACTATAGGATCATGACTGGGCATGTGTACGTTATACGCTGTATCTTTAGGACGGGTCTTATCGATGATTATGCCCGAGACATATTTCCTATTCAACAGCGTTCCGCACCTCGCACCTTCAAGCAACTCGTGATAAGGAATACAAGCGAACCCACGATCCCGGTTTTCAATGCCCGGAAAACAGGGGAGTTGTTGTCCAGAGATGATTGGTGTTCGCAGTCCACTCCCCAAATAAACTGTTGCTGCCGAGAAGATCGATCGCTAACTATGCTCGTCGGGCATCTCAAGCCAAGTATCTCTTTTGAGCAATTGTGACAAGGACATCTCATAGATACCCCTGGCCTCTGATCCGTTGGGTCCCGGTTCGTGAAGTGAGGAGTCCAAACAAGTCCTCCGTGACGCCAGCCACCGCCGCTAAGCGCTGATACTCGACTTACCCGATACGGTGGCACGACGAGATAACATGATTATAACTGATGCCCGAGTTTGTGCGTAAATGTACCCGTTATAACATTTGATGGGTTGTCTCTGTAAAGTGATCCGATGCCATGGTATTGGCTTATTATTCGCGAAGTTCAACCATGATGATTGCTTGCAACTATAACTGAACAAATCCCAGAGCAACTTGGCTCAGAATACTACCTTCCAAAAGCAGTGACGCCTTCCTGAATGGGAACTGTCAGATCCAATCACTTTTCCTCACTCAATCACCAACCAGACAAAAATGTCTGCGAGGGTCAAACCTTCCAGAATATCAAAACCTGGCCCATCCAAACTCAGAAACTCGCTGAAAAAATCTAATGCAGCAGGATATGCTAAACGGCATTCACAAAAGTCATCCAACAAGGGCAAGGCTGTATCATTCGATGATGTGTATGAATATGCACCTTCAAAAGTCAGGCGAGCAAAGATTGGCTTAGAACTTGACCGAGAAGAGGCCACTGACCGTCATAACTATGCTTCGGACGATGATATTGATCTTGGAGGCATGGGTCAGGATGGGAGAGAAGGTCTACGAGCCAGATTACTTGGAGAAAACGCAGATGACGAGCAAGTGGACAGTGGAGACGATGAGGAAATTGAGAGTGATGATGCGTTTGAGGAGAGTGACGAAGAAAAGTATGCTGGGTTTGATTTTTCCAGTGTGGTGTGTGGCGTTTTTCTCCAGAGCATGTTCATCGCTCATCCATAGATAGCGTCGTAAAGCTACTGGCACTTCATCGAAGAAGAATATTCGGAAACTACCTAAAACACTTCCTGATGTTGATTTGAATGAAGATCCAGATGACGTTGTCTCCGATGCAGCTTCTACGGAAAAACTCGAGGAAGATGAAGACGAAGAGATGGAAGATGGAGATGCCGAGAATTTCTTTGACATCCTGGAAGTATTTGATGGGAAAGCAGACGCAGAAGATGATGCACCGGCAAAGCAAACTGCGGAGAAGACCAAAGATCCTACGTCAGATGTATCTGGTGAGGCCAGTGAGTCGGAAGATGATCAGATGTCGGAGGATGACCATGGGGAGGAAGAGGACGCCGTATCAGCATCTGAGGATGAGGCCTCCCCAGAAGCTCTTGCAGAACTAGAAAGTTTCCTATCAAGACTGGATCCGGCAGAAGACAAAAAACGCAAATCAAATGATGTCTCAGCCACACAGTCCATTCCGAAAAAACGTCGCTTGATGCAAGAGCGCACTGAGGCTGGGGATGAGGGAGAGTTTGGCGTCTCTGCTGGTGGTGAGTCCCAACCCACGTTCCTATGCAAATTCGTATTAAGAACGATGGACACACACAGGCTCTAGAGCACTTAAACTAGACGACCTCCTTGCCCCGCTTGCGTCTTCAAGCACACTCACAACGCTCAAAAAGTCTATGAAGCCTCTCACTTCCACCTCAAACAAAATCAAAACTCTATCGGCACCGCTTCCCCAGCGAGCTCAAGAACGTCTCGATCGCGAAGCCGCGTACGAGCAGACCAAGGAGGAAGTGGACAAATGGAGTGCTACGATGAAACATATCAAGCAGGCAATGATTTATCCAGCCCATCGTATCTATTTCGTTACTAACTCGCGATTGCAGGCAGAACATTTGAGCTTTCCGTTGCAAGCACAGCCAGAAGGTCGCGTCTCCAACTTGGAGCTTGCTGCAAAATTCAAGGTTAGTCTAACTTATGTTCATTTAATTCACGCCATTGATTAGTACATCCTTTCCAGCCTTCGAATGAACTCGAGTCGGCCGTGGATAATCTCCTGAAATCTGCTCAACTTCGCGATCAGGACATTGCTGGAACTGAAGCTCTGAAGATGGCCCATCTATCGGTCGAAGAGGTCGCGAAGCGACGCGCAGAACTGCGCATGATGCGCGAGCTTGCATTCCGGGCCGACAAGAAGGCGAAGCGAATAGCGAAAATTAAGAGCAAAGCGTACCGCCGCATCCGAAAAAAACAGAGGGAACGGTTGGGTGGCGAAGAGGGAGATGTGGATGTGGATGTTGAGGATGCAGGAGCGCAGTTGAAAGCTGAGGTGGAGAGAGCAAGGGAGAGAGCAACTTTGAGACACAAGACCACTGGGAAGTGGGCAAAAGCCATGCAAGGACGCGGGGAGCTTGATGTGGATCAAAGGCAGGCCATTGGAGAAATGCTGGAGCGCGGGGAAAAGCTTCGCCGTCGCATACAAGGCGAGATGAGCGGCGACGAGTCTGAGGAAAGCGAGAGCGATGATGAAGAACAAGACATAGAGACCATCAAGCAAGGTGCATTCGAAGAGCTGGCCATGCTCGATGCCTCCGAAACTCTATCTGCAGACGTCAAAAGTAAGAGTGTCTTCAATATGAAGTTCATGCTCGATGCCGCGGCAAGGCAAACCCGAGAAGCGGACGCAGCTGCGGATGACTTCTTGAAAGAGATGGGAGGGGTGGAGCAAGGAAGCGACGACGACGCTTCCGGTGACGGACTCGGAACAATGACAGAAGGCCCGTCAGTCCAGCGCGTGGGCGGGCGCGTGATATACCATCCTGGCACAAATCCTTATGCCAAGCCAGTCGGGTCGCACGCATCGGAGACTTCTAGTGTTACCCTCCAATCCGCCGACCTGGTGCAAGACAGTCCAAAAAGTTTGAACAGCATTTCTAGCCCAAGAGTCTCTACCCCGGCGCAGGAAAGCAATCCTTGGCTCGTCGCATCATCGTCTTCGGGCACATCCCGCAAAAGAAGCGAAGTCCTTGTGCAAAAAGGCTCTGACGCCCTCGCGAAGTCAACCAACAAGCTTAAGAAGCGAATTGCCAAAGGAGGGGAAGAGAAAGAACGTATTCAGAATGACGCAGTGCTGGAGATTGATGCCAATAATGTTCTCACTGTTCTTGAGCCAGCCTCTACACCGGCTGTCATCAAGACCAAGAATGAGCTAAAGGGAACGGGAAAGGGAAAGGAGAAACCGAAGAATGACAGTATCGCTGTGCAAATATCACCTGCTGATGCTGATGACTCTGATGGACATAGCGAGGCGGACGAGCAGGAGCATACTCTGGAGAGAAAGCGCCAAGGAGGCAAAGGCAAAGGAGTGGCCGCATTCAAGCAACGAGAATTGGTCTCCCTTGCTTTTGCTGGTGATAATGTCGTTCAGGTACGAAAGTTGTCCTTTGGCTGGGTTCGCGCGGGGTACTGATATGTTCCAGGCATTCGAGGACCTAAAGCAGACAGAGATCGAAGCAGACGCACCACGAGAAGTTGATACAACTCTCCCTGGTTGGGTAAGCTGAAACTTATTCTTATTTATTTACCGAGCTTAGCGCACGTTATAGGGCTCTTGGGGGGGTACAGGTACCAAGAAGCTTCCACCAAGACCAAATCTGATTAAAAAAATCGCTGGTGTTGACCCTTCGTCTCGAGCCGATTACAAAAAAGCACACGTCATCATCTCTGAGAGGCGGGACAAAAAAGCGGCCAAGTACCTCGTCAAGGAGTTGCCGTACCCATATACCAGTCATGCCCAGTACGCCCGCAGCATGGACATACCTATAGGTGCAGAGTGGAATACTAGAGTAGGGTTCCAGAGAGGAACTCTCCCTCGTGTTGTGAAGAAGGCGAGCCATATTGACCCTATTCTTATATCCGGCTGGGTTGCTTATCTTGTCCTTTTAGATGGGTACTGTTATTGAACCCCTAGTAAAACCATCTTGACGGCGATTTATTGTTGATTGTTGCATGCAGTTGCTCAGTTGACGAGGAAATTTCGATAGGAATGTATATCATGATGTAGCGACTGTGAAACAGATAGGACGTAACCTTGTAAACTTGTAAAGTGCAAGGAACATTGTCGTTATTCAACTTCAAAGTAGTTCGGCGCTCAATCGATATCGGCGCATTCAAGTTGTGCATCGAGACCAACTTTATCGACTTGTCCACTTGTTACTACCACTAGCGTTATAGCATCATTAGTAACGGCTTATTTATATCTTCGCAGTTGACCGTGCACTGGCGGCCGGGACATATCATGTAAATACGTACTAATTGATGATAGCTCGGGTGCACAAGCTCGGAAGGCATCAAGTTACTATTCCAAGCTCCAACAGTCACTTATCTCGCAGCAACAATCCCTTCCTCGACTCGTATTCAGCGGGATATACTACTACAAGCTGTCAGTTCGCCTGATGGATGGTCCTTCAGAAACGGAGCCTCTCCTGCGACCAGCACAGGTCCAGCGGAAGGTGACCAACGACATTTCAGTGGAAGGGTATTCGTCTGTGCAAGATGAGTCTGACCATAGTAGGTGCCTCGGACTCACATGGATGGAACATCGTTTTATTCACATCTCCGTTTTCTTTTATGATATCATGTAGACATGTATGATAATGTGCCGGATGCAAAGAAGCAGATCGGTAGGCACAAGTTGATGTCGCTTGTGTCGATGGGGTATGAAGCTGACCCGACATACTTCAGGACTCGCTAGTGCAGTGATGCTTATATTCAACAGGGTGTTTGGAACTGGGTTCGTCATAACGGAAGCATCCTTCGTGAGGGAAGGCTAATGTTCATGTCCAGCGTTTTTGCATCGCCTAGCATTATCTTGCGGTCGTCAGGGAGTGTAGGAATGACTTTCGTTATGTGGATATTCGGTGCACTTGTCGCATCCGCAGGTACTGCTGTTTATGTGGAGTTTGGGACGGTCAGGGACTCGAATCATCTGCTCTTATCCCTTATCATTTCGCTGTGCTCTAGGGACTGCCAAGGAGTGGTGGGGAGAAGACCTACATGGAATACATCTATCGCCGACCGAGGTTTATGACCACTTGCTTCTACGCGATATACGGATTGTTCATAGTGAGTCCTTATTCGTCCCGTGAATGCATTGATCATTATCACCATCCGTAAGGGTTGGTTATCGGCAAATAGCGTTGTTTTCGGGGAATGTGAGTTTTACACCTTCTGCTAGACGTCTCCCAACTGGTCCCCTTAGACACCTTGAATGCCCTCGCAATCCAGCCTACCACCGTTAATGTTCGAGCAGTCGCCTTTCTGTGCTCGACATTCTGTCTCATCGCCCACGGCGCATTCTTGAACTATGGGCTGAAACTACAGAATGCACTGGGTTTTTTTCAAGTTAATTGTGTTACTCGTCATCGCTGTTTCTGGGCTCTTCAGCCTCGCCGGTGTCCCTGGATTCGCCGTACATGCCGGATACAATACTCCACATAATTTCACGTGGACGTCTTTTTGGGAGGGAAGCGACATAGGCCCGAATGCATTTGTCACTGGAATGTACAATGTCATCTGGTAGGTTTTATCTAGTCGTACACCCGCGGGCCAGATGCTGACTTCTTTACAGGGCTTACAACGGATACTCTAATGCCAATTATGCTTTATCTGAAGTGCAAGATCCTGTCCGTACCATCAAGCGCGCTTCATCCCTTGCCATGATCCTTGTCACGATCGCGTATTTGTCTGTGAACGTTGCGTACTTTGCTGTTGTATCCAAGCAAGACATGATGGAAGGTGGCACCATGGCGGCGTATGGTTCATTCATCACGAAAACAACGCATTCATACTGAGACAAACTCTTTTAGAGCTCTATTTTTCAGGAACATCTTCGGTCCTGCTACAGAGCGGGTAAGTGATGGCAACCATGCTAGTCGGCATATTTTCTTATGTAGCGTAAACCCAGATTTTGAGTGCTATTATTGCACTGTCAATACTAGGAAACCTTATGAGCATGCTGTTCACGCAAGGCAGAGGTTATTCAACTTCACCTGTATATGATTATATGCGCTGACTATGACACAGTCGTCCAAGAATTGGGTAGAGAGGGTGTTCTACCACTTTCATCTTTCTTCGCCAGCAACAAGCCTTTCAATGCACCTCTTGCTGGGCTCTTCGCTCAATGGCTCATTTCTGTGATCACCATGCTTGCTTCTCCTCCTGGAGATGCTTATCTCTTTTTCGTAAATTGTCTGTACCTCATGACTTGATCTTGGGCCCCATCTAACCACAATTTAGTCTCATCGTACCCCATCACGATGTTTAATATGCTGATATCGGGTGGCCTCCTCCTCCTGTACACCCCTGCATTCAAATCCTACGAGTGGTGCCCTCCGTTCCGAGCGTGGAAGTCCGTCGTTATATTCTTTTTGCTATCCAATGTCTTCCTTGCTATTGTGCCCATCATCCCACCGTCTCCAGGATCCGACGTTTACGAACATCTCCCATATTGGGTACGTTACCACTGTCTCTTTGTGGGCGAGCAAAGCATAACTGACGGTTTGACATACAGTCCCACGTCGTTTTAGCAGTGCTAATCGGTATACTTGGCATCATATATTGGTTTGTTTACTTCTACTGGTTACCCAGGAAGCATGGATACCGTATCGTGCAAGAGACTGTCTTACAGGATGATGGGGTCTCGCGGAACGTCCTTCGAAGAGTACCAAATGGATCAGGTGAAGGACGTACGTAAATGTAAATGTGTATGTATATCAGCTTCTAGATCTTCTAGATGTTATCTCAACGTACAAGCGTAGACACACTGACGAAATACCTGACCTAGATACAGGTATAATTAGTCCTCAATCTCGGGTAGAAGATTGTATTATGATACACCTAGGTTATGATTGGTCTACGATAAGTCAGTATGAGTAAGGTAACTATGAATGAACACACGTTAACTCAGTCTCGGATAGAAGACTGAGGGAAAGCAAAAACGAGTGTCTGGGTGTCAAGTAAGTGTATCAATACCACATACGGTTAATGAGGATGAAGGAATGAGCGTTGACTATGACCTCAATATCCAACACATGCTAGATAAGCTGTGGGGCACCAGGAAAGTGTATAATTACTATTCCACCGTTTGCCAGCCCAAGAACCATGCAATTGCCGAATGATGCATGGGATCTCACAGGTGACATCGTTGGAAGCATCGTAAGGACCGCACCAGTCCTTGAATCTACTATCCATTTTCGCTCCAGAGACAGTGGCCCGACGATAGAATGATAGCTGGGATCATCGGCCGGCGTAGCGGGTAAATGCCCTCCTGTTGTTGCATCCCATGCGAAGACAGCACCCTTACGGTCTGCTGCCAAGATCCTAACATTATCTGCGGGTAGAGCAACAGAATGTACTTGTTGCTCAAGTTTCAGTGGACCCAGTAGGCATTGGCCTGTTATGGGATCCCAAACCCGCACGGTACCATCAAGTGACCCCGAAACAATGCGCTGGCCATCTTGTGAAAACGCGAGGTGCGAAACCAGGCCCTTGTGCTTCCGAGCCACACCCATGCTTCCAACCGACTCAGTATCCCAGATGCGGACAGTAGCATCCTTCGCGCCTGTTACCAGACGGAGACGCCCGTACTGCTGCCAAAATGCTACACAACGCACAGGCATTCTGTGCTGGCGAACGAGGTGGCTCAATTCTTCCCTTGACTCCAAACTCCAGAGGCGTACGGTAGTATCGTTTGATGCGGATGCGATGAATTGCCCGTCAGGAGAGACGGCAACAGAGAACACGGTGCTGTGATGACCGCAAAGCTTGATTGGCATGGATTCCTCTCGAGACCGATTCGAAGAAGAACCAGCCTGAACATCCCATACACAGACGTGTTTGTCATCTGAACCCGATACTATCCTCGTGCCATCAGGAGTGAAGGCTACAGAATACACGCCCCCAGAATGACCGCGAAAGGGTTCTAATACCATTCTTCCTGATGCTGCATCCCAAATTCGAATAGTACCATCGCGCGAACCCGAAGCATAGCGCAGACCATCGGGCGAGAATGCAAGACACAGAACCGTTTTCGTGTGCGTCGCCGGGGGGTCCAGAACAACTGATGCTGCCTGTACATTCCACATGATGATGGTGCAATTTTGTCCGCCCGATATCAAATGGGTCCCATCAGGGGAGAATGCAAGGGCGTATATCGCTCCCTGATCACGTGTGAGTGGCTGACCCATCATTTGCCCAGAGAAGGTGTCCCAGAGGGCTATTGAACCACTGAATAAACATGATGCAGCTAGCCGACCACAAGGCGCGAACACCGTCATCGCCACATCACCTTTCGGTCCTTGGATCAGCAGCTCCCCCGATACAACGTCCCACACATAGCACCCGCGGGCGACCGTCGAGATCAACTGGGACCCATCAGACGATAGTGAGAGTGATGTGACTTCTCCACCTGGTCTGGGAATGTCCATAAGCAAAGGCGACCATTCATCACGAAAACCTCCAGCTACGACTGGTATTGATAGTTCATCCTTGAACAACTGATATAGAACAGAGTTGGTTGGGGAAAATGGCAATGCACTAATGTATACGAGAAGTGGGTGTTGTTCGATGACCGCGGTGAAGGCTTGGCAAAAGCGCACTGCATCCGCCAGAAGGTTGCAAAGTTCTTGATGGCGACCTTGAGTTGACTGTAGGCTTGCTTTTAGCAACGAGAGAAACAGGATGGAACTTTGACTCACTTGGCTCCAGTCTTCTAGTCGCATAAGTAACTTGATTGTATGTCTAGCCTTCTTCAACAAACTCATCGTCTCGATCCAGTGAAGCAGATGCTTCACAAGAAAATCGTACACCACACTAAAGAGCGATTCCTCACTTCCCTCTGACTTGCAGACGTGCTCGATCCAGAAGATGCAAGAGTAGGTAACATCCTCCGGTAGAATCTTAACATCGACCCCACTTCTCGTGAGGGTCAAGTTGCACATATTTTGTTTCAAAATCGCGCGAAGGGAACCAATGCACTGGAGGGCAAGTCTCTGGTGGGATAGAGATACATCAATGAACCATTCATCCCTTTTGCAACGAGCTCGATCTGTTAGAAATTCCTCGAACGAGGGATGAATAACTTGAATCGGCTCGCTGGTTGTTCCTCGAAAAATACAACCAAGATGTTGGATAGTGTGAAGACTTGGTCGCGTTCTTGAGACTGAAGCAACCTCGTTAAGCCGGTCGATGGTCAACGCTGTCAAAGGATTTCTGGCAGCTATCACAACGCCGAGAATGTCGCGGAAGTCGGCAGAAAATGCCGGATCTTCCCATCTCCTAACGGATTCCAGGGCGGTGGAGTATATAAGATCCAGGGCTGACTCGGCGTTCGAGCAAACGTCAGTACGAAGCAGGTCCGCTAGCCTGTCTTCTGGATCTTGTCCGTTTTCCACGTAGCGACAGGCAGTAAATGCCCATATAAAGAGTCCGCGCGCTCGAGTTGCCAGAGCATCAATTGTGTTATGCCCAGGCCATTCCTGTGGGAGTGACAGATATTTGTTTTTAGAACGGATGTTCTGCAGACGATCGTATAGGTACAAGTGGATATCCTTGTCAGTGGCAGGAGAGTTGATGTCGATTGGGGTGTTGCAGATATTCTTCCGTGCCTCCAATGCTTCCTGAATATCCAACTCTATTCGGCTTGTGACAACGATGCGTAACGTCGGCGGCAATTTTACGCTCTCCAGCGCCAGGACGCTGAGAAGGTCTTCCCGGTCCCCGACGTGTCCGCACTCATCCAGTGCATCGATAACAACGATCACAGGGCCTTCTTGGCTCCAAACCGCCAATTCGGATTCGGACAGAGGTTGCACCAGTAATTTATGAAACTGCTGTCGTAGGGGTGATTGTCTGATGCTTGGAGTGCTTTTGATCACAGTCGAGATGGCTGCTCCCAGTCGATGGTCAAATTCGCCAAGTTGGAAGGCAAGAGTTCGTACAACGGCCGCTGGATCATTCCTTGCCACCATGTGGCGATTGAAAAATACAAATGCGCCGAGACGACCGAGGTCTCGCGCAATGTTGGCGATCGTTGTAGCAACGGTGCTCTTTCCGGAGCCAGCAGGGCCATGGAGCCAAAGCACGTTTTGATTGCTGGAAGGATTCATTGCCCAAGAGAACAAACTGGAGAGCAAGTCGCTCCGAGTCTGGGGCAAGCACGCTGGTCGGGAAGGGTCATCCATATCTGCTGGATGAAGCTTGGCAAGACTTTGTGTTTGAACTAGGTACTAATGAGCGTTTGGAACTCGGAGAATGCAACATGCATACAGACCTATCGATTGCACATCTTCGTACATGCGGTGGGCAATGAGAGCGATCTGGACCCCAACCCCGGTGTTGAAAGATGCCTTCAGCATTGCGAACGTCTGCGTGAAGCGTGCGATTTGCTCGTCTGCCCACTGTTTATTGAGCGTACGTCCTAAGATTTTGAATGAGAATTAGAGACGGGTTTAAGGTAAAACACACGCACTACAAAATCCGTGACCAGAGTACTCCTGAATGAACAGCATACATTCTATGGTTTGGAACATGATCTTCTTGATGATCTCCTCTTGAGATGCCAGTCTACTCGGAAAACTTTTCACATCATCAACAAAGGTATACACGTCCTCCATTACATCCGTTAGATCTCCAATTCTTTTGTCCCGGTCCAGCTGGTCTCTGACAATCTACACCATTCATGAGAAATTCAGAGTCTCATGCGTTGATGCTCACCGTGTAAAGTGATGATACAACCTGCCATGCCAGGTTCACGAATGGATGTATCTGCATTTTCCAAACATTAACTTGTCGTAAGTGGACAAGGGGCCAAAATCAACTTACCTGCGATGCCACGTCCACAATCCGGACAAACGTATCTAGCTGTGAAATGACTACAGATAAAGATTTTCCCACAGATGAACGAGCGAGTTGCACAGGCCCTTCAGGTCTGTATAGACGGACTAAGATGTAGCCTCGCTGTGAGGCGTCATATTGCAGTACTTCGTCCAAAGGGAAATTCAGCTGAACCTCCTGTGCTATATATATTGACGTCACGACGCGGTCGATTTAAGAAAAGATCTCTTACACACTGCGACAACAGGCTGTCTAAGTATTGCTGCCGCATCTAATCTGACCTTGCCGAGAGAACGGGAGCCATGTTTGAAAAATGTGTTACGTTTGCTCTGCTTGATCTCAAGCTGTGTTTCCATATCTATGGGTCTGACGGCATACGTAGTACTTGTCAACATTTCTTTATGTATAAAGTACTCAGCACTCACAGCATGAAGTGTTCGTTCCATACAGCCTTTCCATCAAGTTCTCTAAACACTTTAGTCTTCTGCGGTGGATGCCCTTCTACAAGGATTTTGACATATACATCAGATGATTTGGTGGAGTCTTTCTTCGGGATCAAGGCTTCGATGACTGCAGATCATTTTTGGAATCGTGGATTTACCAAGCTGTACTGTAGACTCACTGTCTGCTTTGTAGTACGTCCTGTTGTCCATTAGGATGCCGCTGGTGAAAGAGTTGGTGAGAGTTTTAAGTGGCCAACCAGCTTGGATTGCGTTTACATAATTAATAGCTTGATTCCAGCAATCGTAAGCTCTCGAATTGTGGGAATCGGATCGCCGACTCCACGCGTAAACGATGGATCGATGAAGTTTCGTGGCTTTCAGACTCCAACCAATGTTTAGAATAAGATCGGAGAAACCATGCAGCTGAACTACAGATTCGGAGGATGTATACTAGTATATGCTCCCAACTTATCCTGGAAGCCTACTGACCATAGATATAGAAATGTGTCGGTGGTACATGAGTAAGGAAGTAGTGGCATACTCGGAATGTGTACATCTTTACGCAACTCGATCGCTGATCCTGAACGCCTGCTCCAATTCTGAGTGTCTTGGGTCACGCAGATATTGGACGACGCGCTTTGGCTGACGGGGTAAGGATTTCGCAAAATTCAGTAGCCATCCGACAGGGGTAGTCATCGAGGGCCACAACGTGAATATCATGACTATTGTCCATCCAGGGACCATTGTCGCGAGCGTTACAACGTCACTGTTACGGAAGATGAGGATAGACAAAGCGAGGCCGAAGAATACCATCCTGATGACATATAAGGTCAGAGCTCTGGGATGGATACGCGGGGAATTAGGACATACGCCCATATAAGAAGTGCAAACGATAAGCTATGTATCAGTGCCAAGTTTTCAATTCCGGGAATTGCGTGGGTCATCAAGGACATGTACAAAGCCTGGATGTATGGTCAACGAGGCTCATTAACTGAAAAAAGAACGCATACCCCGCCTTCGGCAGTCTGATAGTCTTGGCTTTGGTCGACAAGTAGCACAGAAACCACAAGCGAACCCACAGAACAAAGAGCTGACATGTATACCTGCGATATTGGACGATGTCTGTGAGGAGCTGTAGGGATCAGGCACTGCAAGGAAACTGACGTCAACGGCCAACATAACGGTGGACTCCAGCGACGCTAAGTCTTCAACTGCATTCAATATGTATCAAGCACTTACATAGAGCGTGTACCCCGCCCACTCCTTATCCAGTTGGGCGATAAAATCTTTCCAGCGTGGGGCATTGATGATCTCGTCAACCCATACTCTCTGTATACGCTTATAGTGCTTGCGTGGCCCATACCAGAGGATCAGGTTGAAAAGCCTGAAGATGAGTGTTTCACGCTCGTGGCCCTCTTTGTAATAGATGGATCTGTCGGCGTCAACACGCGCGCCAGGTTGTCCGTAGAAGTTTGTGTATTTGACCTTGGCTGTGCCAGTGCGTTATCAGTATTTTTCGTGAATCGAAGGATAAATCCGTACTGAACAATCTCATGAATCGAGCTGTAAGGAGTAGATAAGTATACTATTGTCATCTATGGAAAAAAAACTCGCCTACAACACATACAGAATGAGGATGTATTTTATCGATGCTGCCTGGTTGAACATTAGTTGAGTCGAAAACACTCGGAGTAAGTCTAACCCTCAATACGGTCCATTAGATCCAGCATCTTCGCTAGCTCATTGCCATCAAAAGGGGCCAGTGATGTATCCGATGTGATGGTCTCTATAATCATAGTAAGATTATGTCCTTCGTTAAGTTGCAACCACATAGCCTACCTGCATTTGCATGGATAATGATTTCCCTCAGCTCATCAAAGATTTGTCTCGGAAGGGATCGGTTGTGAGGATAAAGCTCGCAGTGATACCTAGAAGACTGTCAGCGTCGCCAACACGCTATTGCGTGCAAGTCAGCAAGATTGATTGAGAATGTTCACGGAGCGTACCGATCTCTTGGAGAGCACTAGCCAATATTGCGATTCTAATGAATATTCTAAAAGCAAGTGTTTAAAGGTAATCCGATTAGTAGTGAATCACCCACTTATATGACTGAGTTTCTTGGCTGCCTTGACATTGAACAGAATCTCGCCACCTGGTTCGCAAGTATACGGATGTGCCCAAAATATCACCCTCTCCACGTGATCGACGAAATAGTAGCCACATGATTTGATGCTGGTAGTATTACCTTTTTCGATGCCAAGCTCAAGTACCAATTCTGTTTCATCACCGATCCTGGCCTGTACGTCTGGTTGGCTCTTTGCATAAGCATTGAGGGCTTTAGCCATCGCCAAGAGCTTTTCCGAATCGACCTTGCCTGGGCGCATGTCTGCATCCGTGAAAACTCTCTATAGAGTGTATGAGCATTTTGAAAAATCGACCTCAGGACATGTGCTAACTGTCTCATGGTGATAATAAACTCTGGGACCTTCAGGGTGCACGAAATCGTGCCATCCACTTTGCACCTCCCTAGATGCATGTATTATGAAGGTGATAAGATACAGAAACTGTTGGTGAACGTGTACATACTCCACATACTTGCTGTTGGTCGGAGTGATGACGATATGATTCGGTTCAGCCCATTTCCTTCCGTGGCAGTGTCACTACGTCAATATCTCTCTAGAGCATAAGTGATAGTCTTACATTTTAATTTTCCTATCATAGCGTTTAACGTCGGTCGGTATGATCGATCGTAGTGTGATGGGCTCCGGTCGCTCAGCATGCCCCGAGAAGACAAATTCGCGGCTCGTATGTTGGCGTGTTCATTTCTAGGAAGACTCGAGGTTGTCCACTGTCAACGTTAGCATTTGGTACTCGGACGTCATATACAGTCCCGGTGCTGAAACTGTCTCCGGAACTGAGGTGTGAAGGTGGCGTCAGGTACAATGGATGTTGCAGGAGATGCAATGTCCGTCGGTACTGCGAGCGTACGGTGTGGTCGGTTACCAGGTTGATTGACATCTGTCAGGGGGTAAGTGGATCACAGGCAAGCCGCTGCCTACATATTGCAGGGCGCAACTCTTCTTGGAGTGTTCCAGCAGAATAGATATCATTGCCAAAGCGAACACGCATGCTTTCTAGCCTACGGAGTAGGGCATGGAAAATCCGCAATGTATAGCATGCTCGGCGAAGTGAAAATTTGAACAATTGTGCAAAGAATCTAGCAAATTTGCGCAAGACGTCCGATGAGAAGGTGGCCATAGAGATGGTACCATAAAGGCAGTCTACCGTTTAAGAACTGAAGCTAAAGCGTGAAGCTTTGAACCCACAGGAAACCACAGTAAGTACTTACTGGTAGCGATGCTGAATGGTTTTAGACCAGTGCCAGCCAGCCAGCTGTCACATGTCAGGTCTTGGCCTTCCAATCGCTTATTAGTCATCAGAGAACAACTTGAAGCCTTGGCCACTAGTTGCCAGACTCCACTAAATTTGATCCTACCAGTTGCGTTAACTGCCGCTGCACCGCACCCCCTAGAACGCAATGTCTGGGCAAGAAGAGCAGCTCACCGAGTTGCTTTTGACGCTCAAGGTCAGTGCTAACAACTACTACACCCACCAACTCATCACCCGCCTTTCCAGAAAACAACTCCAGAGCAAGCACGCGCTATCCTCGCGTCCACACCGCAAATCGCATATGCCCTCATCGGTCTGATGGTGAAAATGAATGCTGTAGATGTCCAAGTCCTGCAGGTATGCTGTATTCGCCCTTACCACCTGGAAACCGCCAGATTGACGAACCGGCAATTCCAGAAAACGCTCACGGCCTATTCAACATCGATCCAGCAACAGCAACCACAAAATGCAGGCCCGTCGACTGCGCCTGCCATCCAGCCTGCTTCTGCAATCCCACCCCACCTCCAGCAGTACCGTACACCAACACCGCAGTCCCAAACGCCGCCGCACGTGCCATCACATACACCTACCCCTCCTCATTATCCTAATGGACATGGGCAGGGTCCACAGCAAAATTTCGGCTATGGAGCGCCCTCCCAATATGGTGTGCAAGGAGGATATAGCACGCCGCAACAAGCCCCCATAGGTGGTGGCATGATTCCAGATGCCCTGGCATCGATCCCTGATGAGCAAAAAGTGCGAGAAACCCAGTTCTACCATATTTCACATTCTGATAGGCCAAAACACAGGCTATGATAATGCGCGTCATAGCTATGACATCAGACCAGATCAACATGCTCCCACCGACGGAGCGCGCGAGCATTATTCAGCTGGTAAAAATATTTCTTTAATATCGTTGGAGAGTATGATGCTGATTAAAATCGAACTTGTCCCTCCTTACAGCGCGCAACGCTAGGGCTGCCGTCATAAGGGTCTACGCTAGCCACTCATATCTCAACATGACATAGATGACCTGCTTGGCACCCGGTATCGGGGTGATACACTAGTAGGGCGTTCCTTTGAGAACGTAAGTGATTTCCTTCTGACCCGCGGCGTATCGACAAAGGCGGCCGCGAGTTTAACCCGGTGGAGACGGTGACCAGCAAATTAACCGATTTGATCATGGCGAGCAACCTACATTTGATGGAATTATGATTTATAATTCGATTACTCTCCGTGTTTGAATAATAGACCGATGATGCAAATGCAATTCCGAGGCTTACAGCAAGTCTTAGTAAATGGGTATTAGCTTATCGGAATCCGCCCTGGCATTCTAGTGTGCAGTCAAGACCCTGGTGATGCAAAAGCATTCTTACTACTAGCGTATCGACTGTCATGTCTGTGTTAGGTCAGACTAGGCTCCAAGGGTCAATATATTAATCATTACCGAGGAGATTGTAGTACTTGTGGGTCACAATAATATGAATCTCGTACATGGTATGCCAATCCTCAAGATACATTGCCCTCTCTGAAATTCATATGATTCAACTTGTACGACATCACTGAACCAATCACTCGGAACTGTATTGATCCGCGGTCCTCACACCTTCTGGATAATGGCCTTTACACCAGATGCACCCAAGCCCTCCAAATCGGAATAACCTGAAGGGAAAAAATTAGATGGTATTGACCTTCACGCAAGACAAGCCAAAAATATGATCATACCGCCGATTAATTCCTTGTCTTTTGCAAGATCATCTCATCAGCATCACCCAGAGGTGAGACAAGCAAAATAACTCACTTGCAAAAACCCGAGGGAATGTGGGTGCAGAACCTGGGAGGCTGCCAAGGTAGCTGATAATAGCCTGCTGCTCCCCGGTTTCACTAAGGCTGTGCGCACTTGTCAAGATGGCGGGCGTCCCGATCAAGTAAAACACCTACTCGACTGATTTACCATGGAGCTCTGGATATTTCTGCAAGAAGCGGAGAGCTTGTTGGCAGAAGTAGCAAGGCGGTGAAGTCCGGATGAAGACGACGAGGCCGTTGTCTTTGAGGTTGTTCTGTGAGGGTGTGAGTGTGGCATTGACTCGGAGGCCGGCAGCGTCGATTACCTCAACAAACTCTTGGATTTCCTTCGGGTTCATTCTGGATGCTGATGATGTGTGAGCGGAGCTGGACAAGGAGGGAAGTCTAGATGAGACAGCTCTATAGATTTGAGAGAACATATCCATCCTCCGGCAATTGGCGTGTCGTCACTGAGTCAGTCACTGGCCAGTAACTTGAGTCAAACCAGTACTAGTCAGCAACTTCCACGTTGGAGCTAGCGCTGGCCGCTTATCATATCACATAACCAACCACAATACTCTGATTTGCTTGCGTGCTTCATTCAAGGTTGGTCCCTAAATAACAGACCCTTGAACGTGTCATCCTGTGTGGGTACCATACTCTGCAAAAATGTCTATCGTGGTGAAAAGCGTGTGCAAGGCATTGGAACGAATCGCACCGCTCCGGCTTGCTGAACCATGGGATAAAGTTCGTACCATTCACCGGCAATGTCGTCTGATATGGTGATCTGATACGTATGGCAGGTAGGTCTCATTATAGGTAAACATCCCGTATACCAAAGCTCGGTTATCACTTATCCAGTGCCACACAGAATCCCCTGTCCCAAGGTCCGACGCAAAGCGCGTAGTATTGACGATCGAGTAAGTAGAATGCTATCAATAAGGATTGCTTTGCAATCAACATGCAATATGTAGTGACAAGGCCCCTCTAGTCTGACTACTGCTGTCCTCGAGGAGACATTAAAAGTGCCTACGGCGCTCGTAATAACCTACCACCCACCCCTCTTCAAACCTATTACTTCTCTCACATTGGCAGACCCACTGCAAGCATCCCTGCTCAAGCTCTCAGCCGCAGGGACGTCAGTCTTCTGCCCTCACTCAAGTCTTGATGCGACTTGGGGTGGTATCAACGACTGGCTTGCAGAAGGCGTCATGGGTGCCCAAGAGGCCATTGGAAAAGTCGACATCCTGGGAGAAGTCAAGGGAGAAGCAGGTGGTGCCGGCCGGATCGTGACGCTTGATGAACCGATTCCTATCGAGGAACTTGTCCAGAGAGTAAAGAAGCATCTTTCTTTGTCACAAGGTTTACTGCGCATCTCCCCTGCCTATCGTGCATATCTGATTATAATGAACGTACAGTTGACGTAGGACGGCCGTTCGCTCAAAAATCGATTAAATCGGTTGCAATTTGTGCTGGTGCAGGAGGAACATTACTTTCAGGAGTCGACGCCGATGTGTATTTCACGGGGGAGATGCAACACGTAGGTTTATATTCCTCTTCTATCTGTACAATCCTAACAGTGACTGCAGCACGAAGTCCTTGCAGCAGTTGCAAGGGGTCGATACGTCATACTATGTGAGTTGACTACGCGTGACGGGAGTCTCGTCACTGAACGTATGATATCAAGGTGGACATACAAACACAGAGCGTGGATATCTCCCTGTTCTGGCAAAGAAGCTTTCGGACGCACTCTCCGAAGTTGTGCGGGACGAGTCGTCCAGTGGATTGTCCCGAGAAGAAAGAATCGAGATCGAGAAGTACCAGATTGATATCCACATCAGCGAAGTTGATAGGCACCCTCTTGATCGCATGTAAACAAACACCGGTGCAGAGCGGTGCACCAGGAAGGTTTGGATATGCGATTATACAAGTGCTATATATAATATTGGCCAAGTTTTTTTTGACGAGGCAGTGAGGTCAGATCTGTCACCTGCCGGAAGCTCAAATTGCCTCCATCAAATGTAAAAACAAGAACTAGACAGAATGCACGTAGTATCCTTGTCCTACAAGCTCCGAGCTATCCACGGCACTTACCTTGGGCTGGGCTTCCCCAAAGTTTGCTATGTTTCTTAGAGTTCAGTTGCTAACCCACGGAGGAATTAGTTTTACTGACTACTAGTAGCGGACCGAGGACGAGCCGTTTGAACTCACGAAGGGCTCGGACGTTCGAAGCGAAAATGATATCAGACGATTCAGAGAGTTGACGCCACTTGGGTTCACTCAGTCAGGCCAATATCGAACTATTTTTGAATCAAGAGCAAACGCATGGCTGGGGTCGAATTTCATTCTCGGTGCCTGGATGGAGCAAGTGACCATACGATATGCAATCTGCCAGCGTCAAACTCCCTCACTGATTCCTCTTCGAGTCACATTACCCACAGATGGAAGGGGACGTGCGAGGGCACCGGTGAAAGCCAAGCGAAGTTATAAAGGAGGATAAAGCCTTAACAACTGCACCACACATTTGCAAAGGAGTGCAGTTACGGAAAGAAGATAACCTAGTGATCGTCATTGTATTCAGTCAGCGAGGTCGGCGGACAAAGATTGACCCGCGAGCATTTTACCCGAAAAGGTGTCAGAATGGCAGGCATTTGAATTATATTGCGGGGTAAGATGCGTTCTTGGAAAAGAAGTTGAAAGAAGTTGCTGGCGCGTGCGACCTATAACGCGGTGATATCGCATATTAAGAACAGAAGTCTAGAAGGAGAGATGGAACGGTAAGCCGGGGGACATATTTCTGTCAGGAACACTTATCGAGAACGTGGATGCCCATCGTTCAGCAGACATATGGTTGAAATGTGGGAATGTCATACGGCGGTGCGGGGAAAGGTGGGAAATGTGCGCATTTGGACGTAAGAATATTGATTCGGCATCTGATCTTGACAAGATAAGGGCTCGAGGGAAGGAAGATTCAGGGTGAGATGTGAACGTCAGCATTTATCTCAAAGTTGTGGTAATTACTCACTGTGAGACGGTATGATACACGCCAAGACAACGTCTAAAAATCTGGATCCAGGTTAAAAGAATGTCAACAGAATGGCACGCGCAGCATTGCTTGTCATTGCCGTTGGCGGCACTGCCAGAAAATTGGTTGGTTTAGGTGCCACGTTGGGAATTCCAATCCTCGACGTGTTCATGGAGTGGGAAGCTATCGTGGTGATACCCGACATACAAGAAAGATTGAGTTACAGATGTTGGAGCGTTCAACGCATGTTAACACCTGGCATGGTTTTGAATAGGCCATGAAAGCAGAGTATGATCCTCCCTGGAACGGGCAGTGCTTCATAGACATAGGCTAGATGGCGCCATAATAATGTGAGAACGGTGTGTATCTTCCAATCTGAAAAAAGACAAATGAGCCTTTGTACTTAGAACAAGTTGGGCTGGAAAGTTTTATTCGTCTGAGAAGAAATTCATTAGCATGAACTGGATCCATGTCAGGGCAGGGAGACCGTTATGTAAACCCCAAATATTGATGGCAGATACAGAAACTTTGCTTGATTGAAGCAAACCTGAATTGCTCAGGAGTGAGAGTCAGGAGCGTTTGCATTTGACACCAATTAATTAGGCAGCACTAGTGCCGTGACGGTCTGTCACTCTGACTGTCATTGTGGCTGTTACAGTCGCGTATCAAATTGCACGTGCTGTTGACGCGTCAGAAACAATTCGCACGCCTTCTCCTTCTCTCCGACGTAACACGTTGGAATTGTTAAACATCCCAAGTCTGCACGCGCCATGCCGCCAACAGCCAACACAACGCTAAGCACAAGACACTTACCAGACCTCTCGGACACATCTATCTCTTTCCAGATCCCCGCCGATTCTTCATCCGCGGAGTTTCTGCTTGCAGATAACAGCAGTGATCTTGATTTTCTGCGCGGAGCTGGTGGCGCCAGTTTCGCTACCATTGCTCCTACTCCAGTCCGCGGACAATTGAAGCTTGGTGATATCACACCGAAAGTCACCTCGCAACTGTTATCGCTATCAAGATCAACTAGTCCAAGTTCGTCAGCACACCAGAAGAATGACTACAGACCTTTACGGTCCAGACGTCAGAGCCCTGTCAAAGCGAACAAAATGTCCCGCCTTCCATCTAAACTTAAGGAGATAGTACTCGACGCGCCCGCCGTCTCCGAGGAGCGCTTGGAGTCCTTACGCGCAGAAGTGGGGACCCTCAATGATGATTATGATATCTCCATGCACGTGCAGCCACCAGCGGTTGCGCGATCCTCTGTTTTCCCTGTGTTAAATGTTACGGCAGCACCAAATTCAAAGTTAAAGCCGAGGACAAGAATTAATTCTGTAAGTTGACTCCCATTTACACTCAGTATGAGCTCACCATCCTGTGGTAGGCGGTAGAAGGCGGCCGTAACACGAAGCTAGCAACGCAGAGCAGGATACCCATGTCAGCCGCTGACAAACTTGGTCTAACTTCCATTGCCGAACCAACTGTGCAGTCCTCTTCTACGTGGACGTCCGAGTCAGGAAACGTGGCCATAGATACCGAATTCCAAGTTCCACCCGCATCTATGAGCGGTGTTAGTAATATGGTCTCAAATGCTAGCCAAAGCGTGACCGGTCGGGTGGCTGAACGCCTCGTGTCTTACAGTCAAAAAATAATGACATCGATTAGGTACGTCCGCTGATACACATTTCACTGCATTTGCACCGGAACTGATCAGTTGTACCTTGCGCGTGTCCTTCTATTCTTCTTTCTCTCTTTCTGTATGATTGTGATCGCAATCGGGAATTATGGTTCGATCTGACATGATCTCCGGTCACCTTTCTTGGAAATGCCATCACTCGGATTCCCCAGTATCTATAATCCCAGGACCGAAAATTCTTTCACGGGTGGTACGGGCACTGGTGTTGCTAGAACGGAAGAACACATCGAAACTCAACCTCCGCCTGCAGTCGACATTGTGGATGCCCCATGTTCACCGGACCCTTCGAGTCGTAACGATTACCTATTGAGGCTTTCAGAAATTTCACCGCAGAAGTATCACACACAAGCTAGCGCCTCCCCCGGTCATTTATCCACAGGAAGGCGGGAGCTATCACCCATGAGGCCGGCGAAGAAGCGCCCAGCCACCGATGAGGAGTCTGCTTCCCAACAGCCCAGTGGCAGCAAGAAGTTTAAGGCGAAACCGTTGTCACAAAGCGCCATTGCCAAGACTGGCCCGACTATTTCGGCAGGTTCGTCCAGCCAAGTTCTTCGGCCATCCACCCAGAAGAACCGCGCACATGCCAGCGTGCAGCTTATCAGTCGGAATTCGCGGTGTCCGACGTCAAATTTTCCAAACGCGCGAACAAAGTATAAACCCAGACAGAACTTCCAACGACAGGTGTCATCTACATCGATTGCATCAACGTCCCTGCGCGGTCGGATGATCTGCAAGGAGAAGGACAAAAATGTTCAGGGACAGGCAGGGGGGGTCTGTAGCTCACAAAGCCGAACCTCGGACAGTTCCCGGGTCCACTTTGACGCGGGACTTGTAGTCAGCAAGAAACCTGTGACAGTTACGGGGCTCGAGCGGTTAGGACCATCTAGACCTGGCCTTGTGCCACCCCTCGAGAAGACGGTACGTGATTAATTAACGGAATCCTCGTCTTATGTGCGCTCATTCAATATTATTTTTACATGGCTTGATATTTGATTGTTGGCTGTGATATTTGAACGTATAGCTGCCACCTGCCAACATAACAAAGCCTATTGCGTTTACGTTTCATCTGGACGCTCGCGTGGAAGCGCGTAAAACTGAGTTTGAGAAGCTTGCAGGCTCGGTCAACGAGGAGAGGGGGCACCGACAAAGGCCTCCTGTGCCCGATTTCAAGGTACTACATGAGGCTCACCAAGCGTCACTTGCATGGCGTAAGGAACACGTCGTTCCGATAGTTCCTGCACCACCGATAGTCCTTAGCACCGAAATTCGAGCCAGAGAGAGGGAGAAATTCGACCAAATGGTGCGAATAAAGGAAGAGGAGATTCAACGAGCAAAAGAGGAGCGCCGAAGACAACGAGATGCGGAAGAAGAAAGGGAGATTAAAGAACTTCGCAAGCGAGCAATTCCCAAAGCGAATGAGATTCCGGAGTGGTATGCTGACATGCCGAAGAAAGGAGGCAGTGTAGGAGGATCGGGATAGTGGAGGGCGTCATGCGATCGTTGTCAAGTGATGGAGATCGAGCACATTTGTGAAGTGATCAGGGTGTACGCAATGTTTTTTCGTTATCAGTGCAGCATGTCTTTTTACATCATCCCTTCCCAATCACATCATCCTTCCAAGTCCATGGCTATTTACTTCACAAATCATTATCCCTCGCCCACAGCACAATACCGGTGATACAATCAAAAACCCTGCAAGTTATTCTGGGATGTTTGAACGGGGAAGAGGAAGTCTGGGAAGACCTCGCGTTTAAACGCATTATAACCGGTGCAAAGTGCCTTTCAAGGCCTGAGAAGGCTTGATGGCATCGTGACCGATTGCCCCGGAACCTTGTTTTGCCTTCTGTTTCGATAAAATGTTTACATGTGTCATTCCTCCTGAGTAACCTACGCTGCGGGTCTTGATTTCCCTTGGCTGTGCAGAAAGATGCAATGCGATACGTGCCACTAGTACTAGCGCAGTACCAAGTTTGTCGCCGATTGTTTCAAGTGGGATGATGGACAGATTGAGGAATGATATTTCCAAAAGTTGCTCTGCCTTTGGAATATTTCATGGGATCTATTGCGCCATTGCTTGGAAAGCAGCATGAGGCAGTCGTCTGTGGGTACCTTAGGCCAACTGGCGGGACCTACTGAATTAGACTCTGGCATTGAAATGTGGGCGTGATAGTACTTTCCGATTCATAAGGGCGCATAGCCCCATTGAACCTAGCCACGCATGCGGTGGGGGAATGACCAGATTGCTTGGTTCTACATAGAAGTCGGATACAATGTAAGTTTGAAGCCTACGGCATTGCGAATGAAAAACTCTTGGGTGCACTGACACGCATGTTTAGATTATGAATACGTGGAAAAAAAAAACCCCAGATTGATGGAGGAATACCTGTGAAGATCGATATTACAGGCTTCAAGGTCTGACAGTTAAGTTCTGTCTTTACGATCAGTCAATAATGACGAGATTGCCAATATAGCGCTATACAGGAACGGTCACATCATGTTCCTGTCTTCATCCCCCACGCGATCGTGATTGAGTACGTTTCTGTATAGCAAGGGCGTTAGACACGTCCTTTTATGTGTAAACTGTAAACGTAGGCGACACGTCGAGGAACGCGGTGCCGTAGGACAGGACATTGGAGAAAGAAGGCACGAGAGTTCCTCGATTGAACGGGTGCCGGATCGTGTGAGTGTTTCTCTCGAGGATCTGGAGTACTGCGTGTAAGAGATTGAATTTCAATCTTATGAATAATCTGCCACAGACACTGCCAAATCTCGGGGCCAATGCTGTGTCACTTGGACAAGCAACATGTCCAAGTTGAGTTAGATATAGATGTACTTCCAGTACTTAGTACGTTATCGTGTAAAAAAGTCAGGTGGGACCCGAAAGCAGGGATCCGGTGCAACATGGCCTCGAAAGGTTATCGTGGTGGATGGATGCCCTGACTGTGAGCGCTCAAGGAAATTGATGTACGAAAATGCTGGATTGGGGCACTGGCTGATTTCTTCGAGGGGTCATGACCTTGAGGAAGTCCTCTCAGGCAACCAAAGTTCCCCGATTTCCTTTTTCGTTTTACGCTGATTACAGATTTGGTTCATCAGTGACGCCACAACCCGCAAGTGTACTCTATAATTCTTGGCCGTCGGATGTGTTTTGTCTATGTCTATGCAAGCCGATAACGGAAGTATGACCGGCTGCCACAACGAAAATGCTTAAAAGGTGGGGCACATCCATTCTCTTTAATCATTCAACCTACCAACTCTCATAACAAAACCACTACTCTCAACACACAACAATGCGTGCTTCTACTAGCTCCACTACTACTTGCATGTCTTCCAAGACTGCATTCTCATCCGACGAGTCATCATCATCTAACTCGCATCAATGCACGCGCTACTCTCATCCCACTTCCCGTATCAATGCGCATCTCATCCGATGATGACTCCTGCATGAACTTCAATGCACCTCAGTGCTGCCACTGTGGCTGGCGCGGATCTCACTCCCCTAGCTGTCCCTTCCGCTGAGCACACACAATGATTACGTCTTTTTGCTATATTTATTCCCTTTGCTTGTCGTAAGTCGTCATTCCTATTGTCTCACATCTCCAATGTCTCATTGTCTCATCCTAGACAATTGTTCTCATCATCGATCATGTTGTCATTGGACTCTTTTATTGCATTGTATCAACATACATATACACCCCGTGCATAAACGCACATTAGTCGTCGAGGTCTCATCGCAGTTGTAGGATCAAGGAGGAAGGAGGAGGTTGTGCAGTCTCGCTATGCGGATTCCTCGGGGCGGCAGGATAATTTAGCCTCATAATTTTGCCGTCTGCCTTGTATGTATGATTTACTGCAACAACCATCATTATTTGCCGGACCGAAAACCGTGCTGAAACGTCAGTAACACGTCTCAAACGGATGGTACATGTTCATCGCAGCATGCGTACATACTGATGGCCGAACAACAAGCTACATCGGAAATGAACTCACTCACTCGGTTCAAAGTCCCACGTGGACACCCATGATGTACTTTATGGCAATGCGTAAGGAACACGTGTCATTCGGGCTCTGATGAGCTGCTGGTTGTTCCGCTGACGGGTGTGGGGAAGAAGGGAAAAGTCTTAGATTTGGTCAAGATTTAGAGGAGAATATTAATCGCGGGATCTCAGCCAAGGGACGGCTCTAATAAACGTGTACTGCCGATGTCTATTTTGTATCATTTTCGCCGAACTATCCGCAAGTATGACGAGTTGGAAGCCTATCTGCAAGCGAGCTGGAAGAAGCTTGCCAACGTTGTCAACGTTGAAGTGCGTCTGAGTCATACCCTACGCCCATACCACAGCTACGGCGGACTCGGCTGTCCTTATCCGAGTCACCTTCTCCGTCGTACTTGTCGGCGTAATACTACTAGTGTGGTTCACGAATAATTTTGTTCCGTGTGACCTCACCTCGAAACTATATATTATCGTGTTTCGTGATGCAGTTATTTCTAGTGCGCAGGTCTAGAAATTCGGGTTGAATTCGGATGTAATTTCGTTGGTTCTCGTCTTCATATGTTTAAGCGCCTCCTAGCTTTCTTTCCCATGTGGCAGCCGGAAATCCGATTCCATCCGACTCTATCCTGTGTAGTGTGTGTGTCATTTCGCAGCTGTGTCTAGGCTCTAGCTGTGTACTACCAACTGTTTTCATATCATGTCTTCCAACTGGGACCCGCTGGCCCTGCACCTGCCTTCTCATTCGGAGGAACTCAAAGTGTCTTTCCCTCAAGAGCATGTGATGCTTATGACACTCAACCGTCCGAAGCACCTCAACGCCATGACACCTCAACTTACCACTGGCATAGCTGCCATTTTAAATTGGTTTGATGATGAACCCTCTTTGTGGTAGGTTCTGTCACCTAGCTTATCGTAATCTTGTTCAACTTCTCTGTCCCGTACTTCAAGGGTAGTCATTGTAACGGGTGAAGGACGTGCTTTCTGTGCAGGAGCCGACTTGAAGGCGTAAGTAATGAAGAATAGTGCTCGCCATCCTGTCGTTCCTTATTCCCTCGATCCTTCATTTTCACACTAGTTGGCTCCACGATCAGTCAAGTGGAACGGCGAAAGAACAAGAAAATGTGGCTTCTTCTGTCCACGGGTTTGCGTCTATCTCGCGCCGGCACACCTCATGCAAGCCTATGATCGCCGCAGTGAATGGCTCGGCTTATGGCGGTGGTGTTGAAATGATACTAAACTGCGATGTGGTCATTGCAAGCGAAGACGCCGTCTTCGCACTTCCAGAAGTCAAGCGTGGTGTACTAGCTGCACAAGGAGGTGAGTGAATGCCGCATCAGTCATTCTATTTCCATTTTCAGCCTCATCTTCGTCGATTATTTTGGAAAACTAAAGCGGGGGGCGGGTATGTATAAACTTTGCTGATCGGTGATTCGTCTTCCTTGCAGTTATTCCCAGGTTAGGGAGGGTTGCGGGCCATCAGGTATCGCTTCGGCGTGAATAAACTCACAGGGTATCTCCGCTTACTGAGAAAATCTTGCGGCGTAGCTTGCTTCTGAGATGCTGCTCTTGGGAAATACCATCACTGCCGCCCAAGCTAGAGACAGATTTCGTTTGTAAGTCAAGCCTACAATCGCCGCTAGTCACAAAGACAGCTTCTTGACACTCATGCGCACACTTCCGGTCCGCAGTGTCAACCTCGTCGTCGAAAAGTCGGCTGTTGTACCTACTGCTCTCGACATCGCACGGCAGATAAACATGAACTCCCCTGACTCGGTTCAGAGTTCAAAGGAGGGCCTTATACTTTCGCAAAAGCACCATTTCGAAGAAGCTGTGCAAACCCACTCGATGAGTCTCGTGAGCAAACGTTTGTATCACGGCGCAAACATCAAGGTACGTCACGTCACGTCATACTTGTCTTATGGGGTATATGGAGTATTCATCCTTCTTCCCTCTGACGTTAATCCAGGAGGGACTGGCCGCTTTCTCGGAGGTATGGTGTACAAGTTGTGACAATTTAAATCAAATTAACGTGTTCCTTCCGTTCGCTCTTCCGCAGAGACGCAAACCTAGGTGGTCGAATCCCGCGAAACTATGACGTGGTTGATTATTGATCCAAGATATTTAAAAGGTTATAGTATACATAAATGCGTTATCTCTCGTACATAAACTCCTGTGTGATTGCGTGATCGTTTGAATGCTAGTGAGATAATCCTCGAGACTTGTCCTCTGAGAATTTAACGATGCCGACGATGAGTGTTCCTGGTGCCCCTGGATGACCCGAAGAAGTGGGAAAATTAGCACGTCCAGCGAGAACGACATTGAAGAAAAAAGTTATTTCCGCTTATCACGTTCTCAACAACAAATTAGCATGCCATCCCGCGAACAAGACCAGGAAACCTACCTCGATTGTATGATCTGATCTATAAGGATCCGTACCAACACCCCAAGTTAACCATTCCAAACTCAAAATAGCCTATTCTCAAGCCGAAGGGGGGTCAACATCGAGCGCACGCTCGATGTGGCTTTCTGACAACGTTATCGCAAGGTTGTTGCATGCCACGTAGGTATACCGTGCACCCGTGAAAGCCCGCAGGGCACACAAAGGAATCGACCTTTTTGCCTTTGAATATCATGTCATATGTAAACATGGCGTACATGATCTAGAACCAGAACTTTAGAAGCGCGCAAAACGTGAGAACCAAAGTTCTTTTTCCAGCGCCAAGGTGAGCGTTAGACACGTCGGCTCAGTGAAAACCGTGAACCGGTACTATAAGGCTGCCAAGTGATAGGTCCGAGGATTATCAGCTTGACAGAGGATAGCCACAGCCTATGTTTAGCTGAAATCGGTGTAGAACAGGAACAGGTGGCGTATGATTGAAAAGGGCCACGCTGGCGATCCAAAAGCTTCCAGGAGGCCTGTGTCAGGGATGGACTTCAGCGTGCCAAGATCACGTATGTCCGAGTATCACTTCATGTTAGCAATTCCAATCGAACGGTCTTCATCTGACTTGCCGACTCACAGCATATCATATACACCTATATAGGGTTGTTTTGAAGTGTAATCTATCCAAGTTGAGTTTGAAAAGAACTAGTGAGGGAGAGATAGTCTTGTTGGGTTCGTGGGGCGCGATAGTCGCGGATTTCGATATCTGGGAGCGGGGTGAGCAACAAGCTGTCAGAGCATGAAGTGAACTGTACATACATGGACAATCAGGGTGGTATGAAGTCCGTGAAACGGGAGAAGTTATTATCTGAGGCGGGACCCAAGTAGCGGAAGGAGTCACCGCAGCAACGCCCATAATACACAATCCTTGTGGTTGAGTCACGTATCAGATAATGAGGTGTATCAGGGTGTATCCTGCCAGTGGGGAGGAGAGCAGGAAGGGTCGCAAAATGACTTGATCGAAGAAGATGCCAAAAAGACAAATTGTCAACTGTGCAAATAAGTACGCGGTGATATTAATGCTGGCCGTAGCGGGGAAAATGCGCTGTGGACCATTAATAATAATAATATCATACACGATACCATCTTGACTTGACGTACCATGTAATCGGAAACAAGGCATTCCGTATGAACGCAGACTCGGTTGTAAAGGGGACAACGGCTGAACCAGGGCCACTGCAGATCCAGTCAGCAGGCCAAAGATGTCAACAAAAGTTCACCGGCAACAAGGGAAATGTCAAGAAGTACTGAGTGAGAGTCTAGATTACACTTAGTAAGCGTCAAGTTGATTCATTCATATTGAGAAGACTCGGAAGTTCTTTATCATGCCACGACTCACGGGTCTCAAGCTGAGCACGAGATCATCATCTTGATAATCGTCTAAAGAGTTAAGGGCTGTAGAGATTTGAGGAAGACGCCGATCATGAAAAGTAGAAGCTGCCACTGGTGTGGCAGTAGTTGATAAGCGAGAGCACAGTGGACGATGCGACTATGCTGATGAATATGCTGTGCCCCCCCGGGCCGGAAGCAAAACGTGTCCCCCCGAAATAAATTGTTAAAATAGTAGTATAGTACTATTGTCACTAAACACACCTATCTTAGTGTTCAGAACGTCCCATATATTTAGTTTTTTTCTTCAGAAATATTTCAGGAATATGCTGAATCATTATTGAGTGAACACTTGAGCGCGCCGTCCTCAACAGCGAGCTCAGGTTGATGTTTGTTGAGCAGCGGGACTTCAAATAAGTTGCAACCTTCCTGTTTTGGTAGTGCTATTCACCGAACTCGAGTGTTCATTCAGTAGTTGGCTTTGTTCTGTAGTTATTTCAGAAGAACATATACATGAGATACTATGAACACTAAGATAAATGTGTTTTGCGCTAATAGTGCTATACTATTTTAACAACTTATTTTGGGGGACACACATTTTGTTTCGGGGGACACCAATAATATTTGTGCAGATTCAACAGCATGGCGCCTACGCGCCTAGTCCCCAATTCCGTATTTCTAGGATCCTCGCATTCATATCCGAGCAAATTTTACACTGTCAGGCACCCGCGGTTTTCCATCCACTGTCGAAA